CAGCTACTGGCTCTTCCGTAGCTTCAGCGGCAGGCGTTTCCTCCACCACTGGCGCCTCGGTGGCATCGACAGCGTTCTCAGCAGGCTTGGGTTCATCCGTTGATTCGATTGCAATCTTTTCCTCAACCACGGGTTCGGCAACTGGCTCGGCCTCGTTGGAAGCATCGGCTGGCGCTGATTGCTCTACCGCAGGCTCTGCAGTTTGGGTCTCGGGGACTGCGGCTGGAGTCTCTGGAATTTGTTTGGCAGCAAGGGAGCTAATGCTATTCTGTTTCTTTTGCAGCCTCTTCCTCGCCTTCTTGGCCTTCTTCCTTTCCGCGGCGGTCATTGGGACCTCGGGTTGGGTTGAGTCTTTGGAATGTTGTGTGGAGTCGGACTCAGCCAGAGAAGCGATCGATTCGCTCAGATCTGCTTGAGTTGCGCCTGCAGTGGATGCTCCATCTATGGATGAAATAGGCTCAACTGGTGCATCTGTGGACAGCGCATTGCTTTCCGGGATAAGGGGCTCTTGCACGCTGGCCATGGTTTAGTTCGTTTCAAATTCGTAATGTCGTAAAATGATGATCAGAGGGTATTAGGGAGCTGGGGGGGGGTTTTTTTCACAATTTGACCAGCAAAGATTTAACGCTAGATTTAATCGTGTACAGAAAACACAAGCTCACAGAGCAATAGGGTAGTGAATTGTGATGGAGGAGGGGAAAAGGGAAAAAAAAAAAATACTCACTGTACAAAAAAAAAACCCTAACGGCACAGCTCAGAGAGTGGGGAAACAGTTGGCATAGTGACCATATACATTACACCTTTCCTCTTTGATCTTTTCGCCTTTTACCTGGAGCATCTTCCCAGCTTGACGCCCAATGGCTGTTCGTTCTTTTTTGGTTTCTTTTATCCGGATCTCCACTTTCAATATGCGGTGAAGCTGCATCGCCGAGGTTTGTTGTTGGGGCTTTTTTTTTATGGCTTCTTGTTCTCTAAATCGTGTGCAACCGTACGATATGTACATTGTTCTATGCCTTTTCCCCTCTTCTGGTTACACCAGAATTCAACTCTGTCAGTTAACAGAAAAAGAAATTGGGCGCTAAAAAAGCGCCGACCCAATTGATAAAACGGGCGCCAATGGGCCGCAAGGTTCTTAACCCACCTGTCATATGGTTTTTGAGTGATTATTGATACAGCGCAGTGATCTCCCAAAAAAAAAAGAAAAGGTTGTAAGTGATGGTGGAGGTTCACTTTTCAATAGTGTGCCCATTCATAGATTGGCTGATGTTTCGGCTTTTTTTTTTTTCTTTTCTAGAGTGCCCATATATGCGGAACATCACGGAGCTCCAAGGTTATTTCTACCAGTTCTACTCCGTACTATTCAGGCATCAGGAATCAATAAATCACAAGGAAAGCTCGTGCCTCACACTAGTAGCTCTCGTGCATCCCGTGCTGCGTGCGACCTCCTTAAGCTTGGACCCTCCTACAGAAGCCGCACTTCCGGCTCAAAGGCCCATTATATCTGCATCAAGGATTTCCTGCAGTTTACACCAGGCAGGAATACTGGAATTCTGTACATCCATTCTCACCGACGGCGAGCAGGTACAACTGATATAAACCCTAGACGGTGTGTGGTCGGCTTCCCGGTCCCGGAGCGGAATCCGCGGGATAACCGGGGCAAATTAGGCAATTTTGAGGGAAGTAAAAATAGCAGAGACTGAAAAACTTATTCCGTATGTGGTCATCTCATGACTTCTCCTGACTAGTATCCCGGAGTACGGAGGAGGGAGGAGCCAGGTACGGAAATTCTCGGATCAACTAGCTCAATCTAGCTCAAAGGAACCGAATGGCTCTCGAGATTGAGCTAGAATTGGGCAGGATCGATCAGGATGATGATGGACATGGGCCAGGTGGTGGCTTAGCGCACCATGCTAGTGCTTGGCTTTTTCTGTGCTCAATGCTCTGGGGCTCTCTTCTGCAATGGAGCAATTGGATGGATTTAAATTGCGTATTAATCATCCTCCTTTACTTAATTTTAACATCTCGCAAATCACTGTTCTCCGTACGGAGGGGAAAGTTACAAGGGTTCGGGGTGGGGACAGTGCTGACATGTGAGTTTGCCTTGCTTCCAAGAGCCCTACACTTACTATCACATACTCCGTGCACTTGATGTCTCCGTGTTCGCCAATCTCAACCTAGCAAGTCATCCCCAGTGTCCAAGCTCACACCATAGGGACTTGAATTTGGGCTTTCTCGTGATGGTTCCGTTGTTACGTGTGTATTATGTAATCACTTCCGATCTTGGCAGGTACCCATGTGCCCACCTGGGCAGGTGCGATGTAGCGAGAAATTCAAGATTGATCTTCTCTTGGCGACATGATGATTCTTCGACAGTGTACGACAGTGTACGACAGTGTAAAGAAAGATGAATCGGTACTATTGTTCATCAATTCGATAGATATCTAGTTATCTGGCCATACTACGAATAACTCCATGACCCAAACCCAGTCTTGAAACCCCTGGCCACCAATAATGCCTGGGATAATCAGAGATTTTAAACAAAAAAAAACTCCAGATGTCTTCTCTCCTCCCCCACCCTATCATATCAAATACGGCCGTGTTTCTCTGTGGTTGGGGTATGTTCCTAGGACCTATGCAAAGTAGGCCAAGAAATCTCTCCCGGTAAACGATAGCCGCACCTTATGTCTGGGATTCCCCTTAACATCACGAAGAGCCTTCAAACCAAACATCAAAAACAGATTCAAAACTTCACAGAGACTTGGAGTATGGCCTGTGGAAACTTGCTAGATTTTGGAAAGTGCGGGTTTGGAGCTTGCTGACTCGTCGGGGTATCATTGGAAAGGGACCCGGAAAAATTAGAAAAAAAAAAGTCATCGCCCGGAGGCGATCCGGCAACTTGAGATCAAACGGCACTCAAGCTGAGGATGGACGGGGATCTATGTGGCAGTGCGCCAATGTCGCCAGCGACAACCGCTAGGCCAGATGTCCGCCCATCCACTCATTCATACTATCCAGTGCCCTGTCTCATACGAAATGTGCAGCGCAAATCAGACATCTGGTGGACCCTCCAATATAACCCTTCTCTGTAAAACTGGTCAACCAGTCTTGATTCTTGTACTGCGTTTGTCATGGACCTTTTGGTCCATCGGTTGTTTGACATCAGCTGTACAACCAGCCGGAGCCCAGTGCCTTGAAAGAGGACGATCTGATTAGACATTTGTCTCAAGATGGCAAAGTACCCTCAATTTGATTGTATCTGAGCGCGCGTTCCATTTGCACCTTGGTATTATGCAATGGGCACAACTAGCGGTTAGTCGAGATTATGGCATGCTTCTGAGAGTGGTTGGCCAGATTTCTTCTGATGGCTTACACATACGCTAGGCGATCGAGAACTCAGGGGAGCTCCCACTTAAAGCACATTGCATGGTCGTTATAATAGACTATCACACAAGTCTCGGTCGTGATTTGAAGTTATCTCGGCTTTCATCTTGATTCAAATGAGCCCATTTCAATTGAGTGATTCGCTGTAGCTCTTGATGAACCAATTCTCACAGAGCCAGGTTGCTTTTGGCGGTCTGTGATCTGCAAGATGACATGGCGGCATCGGACCTGGCAGGGTAGGTATTCCCAAAGTCGCCTTGTGACCTACCCTATGTAGAGTGGTTCCTTACTTACGGGTACAAGAGAACGCTGGCCGATGAGTCGCATCGATCCGTGGTGAGGATCTCAAGATCCCCAAAGTATCAGTCGTGGTAGGATAGAGTCAACAGTGAAGTGTCTCTGGAGGCTTGAGGGTTAAATGGCCGCTTAAAACTCCATCGATCTTGCTGCACAAGCCGCCCATGTTGCCTATCCTACCAGCAACAAGATCTTTGATCCATCCTTTGATATCCCAGGCAACAATGAAATGTCGTTGTGCTCCGTACTGTCAAAGTCAAGTTTCGTTTGAGTTGGCTCGTGTTGAAATTTTTCATTCCTCCTATCTTCCTCCCTAGGTAAATCATCAATAGATACCTCAGGTAAAAGAGGGCCTTTATATGTTCATTAGTGATCAAGGGACAAGCTAAAAGGCACTTGAATTAAACTAAAGAGGTTACAGGTTTGCCCCTTGACAAGAATCTTCGGCTGCAGGCTTTGTATAGTTCATTTGTTTAGTCCTTTCTTTTTGGGATAGATCATGTGTCCCCTTCTCAGGTTCAGAGGGATACAAAATGAGGGGGGATGTCTCCTTTCGGGAGATCACCCTTGGCGATGAAGATCTCCTTTCAATTCAAGCACAAGATGAGCGGAGATTTAAGTGACACGTGGCGCTAAAACCCATATTGGAGCTGACCAGAACAGGAAATCCACTCTGAGAATTTCTGTGGGGGGTAACTCAGGCACCCGGTCTCCACTCGAATAGGTTCACAGGTCCAAAGTAGCTGATAGGGGTCACACTTCCCCTGACAGTGGAAGAGTCTCCAGGTGATACAGAGCAGAAAGGGGTTGGATTGCGTGTTCCACAAACCAAAAGCCCCACAATGAACTTGGGGATGAATTCCAGGCAGCAGAGTTAATCGGATATATTGTCCCTGTAAGTACGGGGTAGACGATAATCCGATTTCCCTGCCTACATGGATGTTCGAAGTTGAAGCAGATCAGCCCTATCCGTGGTGGGTCCTGTCAGCCCTAGGAAAGGTACATCAAGACATTATTTCTCTTACAAGAAGAGTAACCGCTCGACAGATGACCCCTCTGACGTGAGAATGACCTGTCCAGACCTATGGTGATTGGTCAGAGTCAATCATTTTGGTCAATCAACACTAAAATCACGACATAGCCGGTACCGAAGTATATGGATCAGCTCCGTGGTACGGGCCTCATGGGTGCAATATGGCTTGTCTTGCTGGCCATTCCCTTTTTCTTCTTTTTTCTTCAGCTTCTCTTCTCTCTAGCGATCTGGAGAGCCGCCGGTCGTGACCCTCCAGACTACGAGGAACCGAAAAAGACCCGACGCAACAATGGCGAAGCCTATCTTGACTCGAGTCGGCCACGCTTTCGCAAAGCTTTTACGAGTTGATTTAGGTCCAACCCCTCCCCCAGTGAGAGGTGAGGCTAGAACGTATGGCTATTACGAGCACGAACCCACCGTGGGTGACTGGTTTCGAGGCCATACGCCCACTGTTCCGCACGCTCGTCGGTACATCTGGGGCCTCGTCCCTTTCCTCCATTGGATCGGATATTACAACGTGCAATGGCTGATTGGGGATCTTGTGGCAGGTGAGAACCCCCCCTCCCCCGTAAAATAAGATGAACAGAGACTAACCTCGCTGGGCAGGAATCACTGTTGGCGCCGTGGTCATTCCACAGGGGATGGCATACGCTGAACTAGCCAAGCTGCCGCCAGAGTACGGTCTGTACTCGTCATTCATGGGGGTCTTGATCTATTGGTTCTTTGCAACATCCAAGGATATCACCATAGGCGTAAGAACAATTCCTCCATTTCTTTTGGGAGAAAAACTAACCTCTCTCAGCCAGTGGCGGTCATGTCTACCCTCATGGGCTCAATCATCATCAGGGTTCAAGCAGTTCACCCTGAAATACCTCCACCGGTCCTTGCTTCCGCTCTGGCAATCATCTGCGGTGCGATCGTTTTGTTCCTCGGATTGCTTCGTCTGGGCTTTATTGTCGATTTCATCCCTCTTCCTGCTATCTCTGCTTTCATGACCGGGTCCGCGATCAATGTTTGTGCTGGCCAAGTGAAGACGGTTCTCGGGGAGAAAACGCATTTCTCGACGCGTGGGGCAACCTACAACATCATCATTGATACACTGAAGCATCTTCCTTCCGCTCGGATGGATGCTGCTATGGGCCTCACGGCTTTGGCAATGCTCTATGGCATACGGTCTGCTTGCAACTATGGAACGAGGAAGAAGCCCCACAAGGCCAAGCTGTTCTTCTTTCTGTCCACACTGCGCACTGCCTTCGTCGTTCTTTTCTACACCATGATCAGCGCTGCGGTCAACCTCCATCGACGCAATCACCCTGCCTTCAAGCTACTTGGTCATGTTCCCCGGGGATTCAAGGCCGCAGGAGTCCCCAAGATAGATGTGCCCATGATCAAGGCATTTCTTAGTGAACTCCCTGCCGCTGTCATGGTTCTGCTGATTGAGCACATCGCTATCTCGAAGTCATTCGGTCGGGTCAACAACTATACGATCGAACCATCGCAGGAGTTTATTGCAATTGGCATATCAAACTTACTAGGTCCATTCTTGGGTGCATACCCAGCTACAGGCTCATTCTCGCGAACTGCCATTAAAGCAAAGTGTGGCGTCCGCACTCCCCTTGCAGGTGTGATCACGGCCGCTGTTGTCCTTCTTGCCATATATGCGCTGCCCGCACTGTTCTTCTTCATTCCCAAATCGTCCTTGTCGGCCGTGATCATACACGCAGTGGGTGATCTCGTTACACCGCCCCGTATCACGTATCAATTCTGGCGTGTGTCTCCAATTGACGCACTCATATTCTTCATGGGTGTTATTGTGATCGTATTCTCAACCATCGAGACTGGAATCTACTGCACAATCGGCGTTTCCCTGGCAGTACTCCTCTTCCGACTCGCCAAAGCCCGAGGCCAATTTCTCGGCTACGTCCAGGTCCATTCAGTCGTGGGTGACCATATCCTCAACTCGCCCCAGGAGGACCCCAATACCGAATTCGACGATGATTCCGAGAGATCCCGAAGAATCTACCTCCCAACCGAGCATGAAGGTGGCACAAACCCCCGAGTCAAGATCCACCAGCCAGCCCCAGGTATCTTCATCTACAGAGTCTCCGAAGGGTTCAACTACCCCAATGCAAACCACTACACAGACCACATCGTCAGTCACATCTTCAAAGAAACCCGACGCACAAACCAACACGCATGGGAAACAACAGGCGACAGACCCTGGAATGACCCGGGTCCAACCCGCGCCGAACGCAAACCCCTCATGGCAGAGGAAGCTCTCACGTCTCCACTCCCAACTCTCCGTGCCATAATCCTCGATTTCGCCGCAGTCAACAATGTAGACGTTACATCTGTGCAGAACCTCATCGATGTCCGCAACCAGCTAGACCGCTGGGCGTCCCCAGAGAGCGTGCAGTGGCACTTCGCGAACGTCCACAACAGATGGACGAAGCGTGCCCTCGCAGCCGCTGGGTTCGGGTTCCCTGTCGTCTCGGATGGATCAGGTCCTCGATGGCAGAGATCGATCTTCAACGTGGCTGAGATCTTGGATGGCAGTCTACCCGGCCCAGTAGCTCAGTCTCCGGTCAAAGAGTCGGAGGGCTGGTCGAAGGATCTAGAGGCTGGCTTGAAGTTACAGGAGAGGAGTGCTTCCTTGTCGGTCATGGGTGTCTCTGAGGATGATATTCAGGTTTTGCAGGCCGATCAGAGGGATGCAAAGGTAAACCCCCATCGTGGCCGCAGCCGATCCGGTGTCGGTACTGGTATGGCTGCCGTCGATGGAATTAATCGCCCTTTCTTCCATGTGGATCTGACTAGTGCTCTGAAGAGTGCTATGGCTGATTTGTAGGGGATGCATGTGTCGGTGTGACAATCGTCCCTGGTGAGGTATCTCGCTGGATTGCTGGTTTACTTTCTTCCTTTCCCACTACTTGCTCGCTGTGTTTAACCAGCTTTTAACTCTTAATAGGGATAATCGTCATTTTAGCGGACTCTGGATCAAATTAACAAGACTGAGTAGGCCTTGATTCTTCATCAATTCAATAAAGATAGACTGTCGCTAGTGTAGCCCCGAGATATCTTTTATGGAGGTCTTTTCGACGTCTTGTCAGATATTCTTTTTTAGATGTCTGGTCTGTGTGGAAATTTCCCCCCTTAATGGTGTTGTAGGTGGAATATAGGCGGGAAAGGGACTTTCTATGTATAACCAAGGATTTGATCCCAAGCTAAAACCTCGAATGAGCAAAATTGGCGGCCCTTTTGGAATACAACAGATGTCTTTCCCGATGTCCTCTCTACCATAGCTTCTTTAGAGCCAGATAGCTATATAATTCATCGCAACTCTGCTCAGAAATCACTTGAGGCCACAAGACTGGCGGTGTCCGATCTCGATTGCGTAGATCGAAGACTAGGCCTAATTGCGTATAGCTGGTGGATGTTGACGGTCCCTATCTGTGTTAGTGGCCGAGAAGCGTCACCAGACCACGTGAACGGCCTCCCAAGACCCCATTCAATACCTACATTCACAGAATGAAGGCAGGTCACATTTTAAATATGCCATGGACAAAAACTTGACGCTGTGAATGATGCATATTCCCAGTGCCGATTTAGTTGTCAATTAACCAGGCCGAGGTCTGGCAAATTATCCACCTTGGTATCATACCTCAGATGTGTGAACATATGTCCCTGCGCTCAGTCAATGCCCTCAGATGCGCCAGTTCATGGTTTCGAAAAAAAAATTTAAAACCCTTCCCAGAGAATGGACGCGGCATACTCAGAATACCCCTGGCCATCCGATGTATCCGTTAAGTAACAGCTCACGCATCCCTCAACACGAACGCTACAAGGTGCTCGATACTCGATATATCACCACGGCCAATCTACAACCAGAGCGCTTCCTACTGCACCACCTTGCTATGCACCTGAATCCTTGCTATCCACCGCCTCAAGATGGGGGCGTGGACCTGTGACAGTGGGAAACATCGACGCCTACGATGCACGCAAGAACCGTTTACACAGTGCGCGCAGGCCTCTGGCTCCGATTAGGATGGGGACGCTGAAGCTTGATGGCTGGGCAGTTGACAGATAATGTACCATGTATCTTTGATGCGGCGCACCAGTTTTAGGTGGTTGTTTCTGCGAGCTGGATCGAGGGTGAAACGGGTTTTACTTGTGGTGCTGCACTGCCTGGTGCGTCTGCCCGCTTCGGCTGTGGTGCAGGGCTGGGGGTATCAGACAGCGTTGATCGAGGGACGTTTGCGGTCCGTGCTAGTGTTCGTGCTTTCCGGCGGATCCGGCAGGGCGTCGAAGGGGTGCGCTTTGTTGCGATAGATGTTGTTCCTGGCGGAATTTATGCCGCGGTTCATGGCATTTCTCGTTGTGGAGGCGTTAGATCGTGGAGAACATGTTTCATGGGCGATTTCGGTAGCGGGCTTTGAATGCGTGGGGGCGGATTCTTTGAAGGGAGAACGTCTGTGAGATTAGGTATGCGCTGTCCAGCGCATTAGCTGCGACGAGTAGCGCCGGCGCTAGACTCGTGATTGCATTTGTTTGTGCCGAGGGCATGAGTGCGGTTCAAGGAAAGAGTTGCAGGTTGTCACAATCGGGGGGACCACAGTCAGTCTTATATTTTGAATTGAGAGAGTGGATATTTCAGAAAGGAACTAAGCTATGGATACTATGTGTCTTGTGCCATTACGGCAATACTGTGTACAACATACACGCTTATACAGACGCTGAGGCTATATAATATGCCAACTGGCCTCATGACCTCACGGCTGGTCAATGATGAGTTGATGAGTCGCCGAGTCTGCCAGTTACCATACCGTATTTTGGTATTTTACCCGATTACACCCGGCACCGGAGCCGCTTATCTCCATACTTCCATACCAGCTCTTTCACATTTGGAGCTTCATTTTAGACTCCATTGCTTTTCTCAACTGCAATTCCAACTTCGAGCATCACGATAATCCCGAGTTCCCATGTCAATGACCTAGATAACTCCAGGCAAGGGAAAATGCGTGACGGCCCTGAGTCGAGCTTATGTGGGTCCCGCCAAGCTGCAATCAGCCGAAATTTCCAAAAAATTCGAATTTCAGGGAGAAATGCGAAGAGCCTCTGGTTTGCCCGTTTGGGACGGTCTAATTTGCTCGTGAAAAATTTTGGGCTGGAGGTAGGTTTGTCTATATAAGGGTCTCCAGCCCCGTTGAAAAAGGGAAGGGAGACTGAACAACAGTTTACCGCATTACGCTGAATTTTCTGTAATCTCCATTAGGGCAATCCGGAAAAAAACCAGTTTTCACGCCATAGTCGGGTTATGGCGGGTCAGAAATCCAGCCCAAGTGGACCAGCGAAAGCAAGGACACGACAACCCAGATTTGTGCTTGTTTTTGGCTCTGTTTTTCCCCCATCTTTTTTTTCCCTGTCTTCTGAGTCCACCTCCGAGTTCATACAAGACTTGTACCGCATCTGCAGGTCTTACACATAGCTTTGGCTATCCTCGGCAAGCCATAGACAAGAGATGAAAGGTGCTCGGGGTACCGGATCCGTCTAGAGTTACGCTTAACGTATTTTTTCCAAATGTGACCACTCGGTGAGGTGGACTCCCGGGGGACGAAGGGGGAAGACAGTATCCACCATATCCACATTACTTGGCTTCTTTTAGCCGATGGTTGCCCAGTGACTCCGTAGTTGGTGGACCTGGAATCCGAGTCGGGCCGGTTTGGGCGACGCCGGGAGCGAATCCAAGAAGCGTAGTGGGTCCACGTAGATTATGATTGGTTAAGGACAGCTTGTGGGTGGATTGATCCACTGGATTGGAACATACTTAAGATCCACTGCAAGGGCGGAATGGGGATTTATTCCATGATTTTGTCTGTATTTGTTACTAACTCTCGTCTTCGTTGTAATTTACTTGATCCCTTTACTCAGGCTTCTAACTTTACAATTGGCAGATGCTGCACGTATGTCCAAAACGTATTACATGCACCATGTATAACTCCTGCAACGTGAAGGGTCATCTTTTCTCATGCAGGGGATGTTCTGATAGATACTCAAGACCCATTGATCCTCGACGAATCAAAACCAGTGGACCCCGTTGGAACGATACCCGATTGATCCCGACTGGTAGCAGTACGCGGTAAGAATGGGAAAAACAAGATCAAAACCGACGAAAACACAGCAAAACCGAGCAATACCACCCCCAGCATTCCTTAACAGTGTGAATTGCGTATGAAATACTCCGGAGTCCACGCACAACCTAGGGCTTTTTTTTTACCTTACACATACACTAAGACCGACTAGGAGACGGACGGGCGAAAATTTGGCCGTAGAGTATTTATGTCCTAGTGAGTGCCGTCTCCCGTAGTTTCCCAGCTTTTTCTCCCTGAAAAGTCCATCTCTCTCCTCTTTCCTTCTTTCTCCTCTCTTCCACCCACGCTATAATTTTAAAACCCGTCCATCACAATGGCCGCCACTCGTGTCTTCACCTCCCGCATGGCCTCCGTCATGGCCCAGACCTCCAAGGTCGCCCGCCCTGCTGCCCGCTTCCAGCTCAACGCTGCCACCAAGCGCACCTTCACCCAGAAGGCCCCCGCCTTCGGTGCCCCCAAGCGCATCCAGTCGCCCACTCTCCTCCAGGCCAAGGCCTTCCAGACTGCCGCCCGCCGCCAGTACTCCTCCGAGGTCGCCTCCGCCATGGTTGAGGTCTCCAAGAACATCGGCATGGGTTCCGCCGCCATCGGTCTCGGTGGTGCCGGTATCGGTATCGGTCTCGTCTTCGCCGCTCTCCTCATGAGTGTCTCCCGCAACCCTGCCCTCCGCGGTCAGCTCTTCTCCTACGCCATTCTCGGCTTCGCCTTCGTCGAGGCCATGGGTCTCTTCGATCTCATGGTTGCCATGATGTGCAAGTACGTCTAAATTATCTACAACTCGGGTTTACGGATTCTTGGAAAAATGTCATCAAAACAAGGATTTTGGGTTTTTTGAGAGAATCTCTTTTTCCGCCGGGGACGGTATTTGGTCGTGATGTATTACCATGTACTACTTTCAGCGTCATCTACAACACTTTTTTTTCTTTCTGTACATATAGAGTCTTATATGGCCCATCGACCATCCAACCTATCAAAGAGCCAAACGAAAAACTCTGTGTGTTGCGTCTGACGGCCGTATATTACCCTCTGTTCCTCTTCTTCCCTAGATTTTCACCTTCCCCACGGGGACGAATGGGTGAAATTTGCACGTATGGAAGCATCCCGAGCTTTCTCTTGCTCGAAAGCTCCAACACTCCACGTAGAACAGCTCTGAAGCTAACAACCCCGGAGGAATCTTGGCTCTTTTTTTAAATTTTTTTTTCAAAACAAACAGCTCCCGCTCTATGATGGCGCTTGTTTTATCCCCGTCCGAGCGGATGTTGCTACGGGTCCTGCAGCATTTTTGACCCGCTCTTCAACGAGCAGCTACGCCACCACTCCTATCCATTGACCTTAAAAAGACGGTGTAAGTAAATTAAAAAGAGTTCATGATGGTATCGAGCTATTTTATAGCACATCGTCAGTGCTGGCAGGCCTCAATTGACCTGGAGGCCATCGGCGCAAAATTCTTTTAGCTCCCGGGCCTCGGGAACGGCTTTCCCGTAGTCAGCTGACTCCGCCTGTGACACTCACCTCGGACTTTTAGGGTTGGCACCGAGGTCGAGTTTCTGTATGCTGCATGCAGAGCTTGAAAAGTGAAGCAAGCCATATTTCATGGGGAACTGGGTGTCTTTTGATTTTGCTGTGGTTTGTGAGGAGTTGAATGTTCCAAGTTCGGCAACTTCCCCGGTCATATATCCACGAACCCGGCCTAGTCCGCTTTTAGTTAGTAACTATCTCAAATTGTAGTATAGCGCTTTGTCACAGTGAACGAGATCTGATACGTCTTTCTTTCTGGTGGCTTTGTGGGATTAGCATAAAATAGGAGGTGTTTTGGAAGCCTGGTGGTTTCTAGCTTTGTCCGAATTCAGCAATCAATAATGTGTCTCAGGCTTGATTCTCAAAGGTTCAACCACCGGTGACCACCAAGTCAAGTCAAGTGTTGAATTTGGTGTTTCAATTTTTTTTTTGGCTCAACTTGATACAGCAAAATCTTGAATAGAGCCCATCATAATAACCATAGGAAATTGTCACTGCAAATATCTTCCCAATGCTACAAGAGCAATGCACGTGCCAAGCAGACACGCGACTCATGTCAACACACCTGGGCAGCATGCTCACATTCCAGTAAGAAGAAACAATCAAGCAAGATGTTCCATTCAACGAGATGAACAGAAAATTACCAACAGAAAGCCCCAAAAAAAAGACACACAAATCGACTCCAGACATGCCCTAATCGCTCGATGAAACCAATGAAACGCTGATGGGGAGAATGTGTATGACCAGGACTCGATAAGAGAGAAAAACCTCCCCGAGGTTGTAAGTGTACGTGGGATAGCAAAAAAGTCAAAGAAGCAAAAAAAAGCACACCAGTTAGAAGATCTCCAGATCCTCAAACTCAACCACCAACCCATCCGCCGAACCCGTCGGCAACGAGGTATCCAGCGTCAAACCATGCATAGCATCCCACATAGTCCCACCACGCGCCATCCCCAGCGGCCGACTCGCATAAACCCCAACATGCACAAACTTATCCTCAACCCCATAAAAGAACCACGTCACCTCCCGCAACTTCTTCCATGAATTCCCCACCGCACCAGGCGACAGAACGAACGGCGACGCGGACGGAACCTGGTACCAGATCCACAGCGCATGGCCGACACGCTCGAGCTTGATGCGTAGTGAGTGGATCGCTAATCCGGCCTGAGCCGACTGCGCCAGCGGCGACATACACCAATCCGCGCCATCAGCCGTCGCGCTCACCGACGACGCGTTCACTGTCCCCGACGAAAATTCCATTCCGGCTTTCACCCATTTGCAGGGTGAGCGCGGGCAGTTGCGGAGTATCGGTGGTCCGTCGACTTCCGAGGAGAAGGATTGAGGTGCGGCGCCGGCGAAGATCACTAGTCCGCCTTGGTCCCATTCCATTTCCCAATCTGCGCTCACCGTCACTTCCGCTACGACGAAGGCGTGGCGGAGGGATGTGAAGACGATGGGGGCTGTAGAGGTTTCCCCATTGGGCGGTTTGCGCCATAGGTCTGTGTTAGGGCCTGCTCGAAGTGTGAAGTATTCCATGCATTGGGGTAGTTCGAATGTCGGTGGGAGATTTAAAGTCGTGAAGGTTGATCCGTCTGGAGGCATTTTTGGATTTTTGGATTCTTACGATTCGTTGACTTGGCTTCCCACACGCTCTTCAAAGGTGAACGAGAAGGGAAATTTTTGTAGAGTCACACTGTGGTTTCTCAAAAATAAGAGCCCTCCCCCCGGAGATCTAGCACTCTTAAATCCTTCGGCAATGACGCTAGGGGCACAGCATTTGCTTCTAAGATTAGTGGCGATGAAACAATCCGAGCCGAGCAAACTATGCACGATGAGTAGAAGGCCAAAAAAAAAGTCACCCAGGAATTGTTGGGATATGATGCAGGCGAGAATTGGGATACGCCGAATGCGGGTTGCGCCAGACTTGGAAATAGGAACACCGAAAATAGCAAAAGAAACGTCACGAAAAAGAGAAACGCAGACGAGTAAATTAAGTAGTGGCTGGAGCTACATAGTAGGTATCTATGTTGTAGTGAGGACAATTGTTGGCTTCCCCCGGATGGATTTCAGGGGACGATCTTCCCAGATCCCGCTGATGATGACCCTATCGACGAAGAATCAGAGTGCTGGAGACTTCAACCGAGTTGTTGGGCTCACTGAAAGCGCTGGATTCGCGTTCTTTATGGTCAATCTCTTCGAAGGAGATCCTCCAGAAGCGTGCTTGCATCGCTTTGGCTACAGATAGGCTGCGGGCTAGTTCGTAAGTAGCGGGTCCCCATGCATCTGCGGAGGATCCATCACGATGTGACGGAGCTTCTGAGAGGAGAATCAAATCTCCCTTTTAGGCCCAAAGGACCCAAGGGGCAAACATGGAACAGGGCACCTGTGTGCTGTTGACCCTTGTCAGAGCTGAAAGAGAGGACGTGCAGTTGGAACATGCTTCCATAGCAAGAGACAGATAATACTTCAACCCATCGAGGATCGATCGGAACAATGCAAGACGCATGAACTGGCTGGAACTTAGATTTGGGGAGCTGAGAATTGCCTGGGATCTTCTTTGGTCGGGGGGTTAAGAGCTTCTAGACCAATGAATGGGCTTCTGTTTGTTTCTCTCTACAGACTCGGCTATGCCGTTTCGCTCTGTGTGTTCTGCACGAGGCTGAAGAGGGTAATTGTGGATCTTTCATTGGACCTGGTGGATGGGATGGAACGGAGGCAGAGATGAGATGCAAGATTAAAAAAAAGAATTCTCTACCGAGATGGTTAAAAGCCCTTCTTCCCCGCATATCAGACCTTCTCCTTTCTCTATTCTCTTCACCTCATCTACTTCCGTATTTCGTGCAAACGGTCGTCAAATGTATCAACTGATCTGTTTCTTGGAATAGACCGCCCAGGCTTTAGTTTGTGATCGGAAGTTCTCTCTGGAGTATTCTGTACTTTCCAACTCATCAACCGGTGATGTGGCATTTTCTCACATCTTTCTCTACCTAACCTCAATTCCATTTGATTCGCCCGGACTCCCCTTGGATTCCAAATCCCAAAGTCTACCATGCCTTACGCTAACATGCACTGATGTACAGAGTACTTTGACTCCTTCCGTAGCCGAATCTGCACGGGGCGAAGTGCAGGTCCCCAAAGGGGGCCAAAATGCGAGAACACTCAAAAATGAACAAGGCAAAGCCAACTCGACTCTGGTTCGGAAGCTCTCTGTCTTTGAGGGCCAAAACGAGAGCGTCTACCAGTCAAATCCGCTTAATGGACATCTTGGCTTCGTTTTGGAAGACCCTTGAGCCTCGGTTTAAGCTAGCGTACCCTGTATGGAGGATTTGCTTGAGCCCTTTGATTGACTTTAAGTGGTGTCCATTTCAGAAAAGCTGGGGAACTTCTGAGATTCCTCAGAGACAAAGAGACCAGATTGAAACAAATGGCGAGTACAATTCATGAAGCGATGTGATCTGATTGGCACGGGAGAAATACCGCGGAAGGTCTCTCTGTCTCACTGTGCTTTTGATCACTTTTTCTCTTCTTACGTTCGTTGCCTTCCTCATCTGAGCTTGCAAGATCAGGGATCGCAGTTTTCCGCTGAAGGGATTTATCTGCGCCCCGACTTCCTTTACATGGTATGTGGAAAGAACTAGACTAACGTAAACAATTCGCTAAGCCATGGGCCACTCACTAGCTCCTAAATCAACACCATCGCCTGCAAAGCCCTGTATGTCGCTGGGGGCGGAGGTGACCATGTTCTATTTGATCTGCCTGATATTCTGGAACTTCAGAGTTAGGGCGACCTGACTCACCTTCGATGTCTTCTGGGACCTCAATATCACTTCCTGGGATTTTTTTTAAGAGACCTCGAAAAGCCACATGTGGTAGGATCCATCATACATGACATCTTCCTTATTCTTATCTTCGTTCTCTCTCTTGCCAAATGGGGCTTGTGTGTGGGCTCGTACGTGAGAAGTGTAGCTTCACTTTACGAGGCTAGGCAGTTCAACTGGACATATAGGAATGGTGCGACTGATATCAAATGCTGGGTGTCTCCCATGGAGACCCTCGCAGGAATCATCTTCGCGACTGTCGAGGCCGCTAGCCATGTTTGTAGTTCGAAGAGTCCTATCCCAGTACCTTCTATACAGAACACATAGTCACTAACTGGCCATGTTCGGATGTGTGCTGTGGAGATGATTACCGCCACTTGCTGATTCGCAGTGTCTTCCATCGTGGCTATGATTTTACATTTGCTATACCCTGGTATATGGCGATTATGATGATATATGGCCGATGTATCTCAACTCTGCCAGATCAATCCTGCAGTTTGTCTTCGGGGTCGGTAGTTCTGCTGGCATTCCCCTGTGCTGTGCAAGATGGCACAGGGTCGGCGATGAGCAGACGTATCAAGCGTATCAGTACCAGTTTCAGTACCTCTACTCAGATCTTAGCCCATGATCTTGCTTCATTGCCTGGAAGACAGCACCCTCCGACTCAACAGCAGCCATATAGTGTTGCTCCTTACCTAAAATCAGTCGGCACAGCCTCAGTCTCATCCGCACAGGTCTGGCCCCAAGTGAAGTTGAAACTAAGACCAGATTCTGTTGAGATGCACTGGCAGATTTTCTCGTGTTTGGGACATTGTGAGGGTTTTCATCCACGGTGATACTGTCTTTTCGTGCATAAAAGCGACGCTTTATTGTCGATGCTCAATTAGATATGAATGATAGCAGTACGAACCGTCTTGTACAACTAGTTGTTAGAACCATATTTCCAGTATATCTCAAATCATTTCTTCAAAACCAAAAGAATACAGGAAACCCCCCAAAAAAACCCCTCCTAAAACACGAAAAAAAGCAGGCAGACAGAACTTGTTGGCAAGTCACCAGGCGGTGGCGCAAACCTGCGATAACATCATCTCCATTTCCACTGTCAAGCTTTCTCCCGATCAACCACCTCTCCTTCACATCTCACGCAGTGAAAAAAAAAATGGTCTGCTCAAAATGCCAAAAAAAGCTCAAAGCTACCGAGCTCGCCACGCCAGGCGTCAAGCGCAAGAACGACATGTATTATGGCTCGCCAGGTAGTACGCTCGGTGGCGGCGCAGACAAGGGAAAGGCGAAGGCGACGTTAGGCGCCACGGGAATCGGAAAGGTATGTTATAAAATCTACTGTTGGAAATCATGAATTCAAGCGGTTTCTCATTTTTGATGAGTCTGATACTGACGTCTCCTAGAGCAAACTCCTTAGCGCGAAAGCGAAGAATCCTTATGCGGCTTATGCTTCGTCTTGTGATAACTGCAAGGTGAAGACGGAGCAGGGGAGGAAGTTTTGCCAGCGATGCGCTTATCAAAGGAATGGTATCATCGATTCTTTTTTTTTTTCTTGACTTGGTTACGGATGAAATGCTGATGTCGAGACTAGCCTGTGCCATGTGCGGCAAGAACCTGGCGGGGAAGTCGGCCAAGGACCAGCCTATTGTTCAGGGACAGAAGTTTAACATGGCGTGAGATGCTTTTTGTGTTAGATCTGGGCTGCATGTTACAGTTTTATTTTGATTCATTCTGTACATGGCATGGCGTTTGTGGGGCGTTGATGATACCGCAGAACCGAAGATTAATGTCAACATTGAAGGAAATGAATTTGATTTGACAGGGTAGGAAAATTCTAGTTATACATGGCATGCGCAATAAGAGTATATGCAATGCGCCACCAATTGTGCGCTATGGTATCGGAACAAGTATGCCTGTTCATCTCTGGAGAACCTTGAACATCACGTTCGCCTTCTTCTCCAGCTCCCCTCAGCTGTTTATCGGTACCCCATCTCTTACCGGTCGGCTAGCATGTTCTTGATGTTGCTGTAGTATTGCGTGTTCAGGTATTGTGCGAGCTCCTCCTTGGCTAGCCACTTGAAGTCCTTGAGGCCCTGGGTGTTGACGGACAGATCAGCCTGGCCAGCCATCATACGAGACTTCAGGAAGAAGATCTTGCTACCGGGAGCCTCGATCTCGGTTGCGTTGTCCGCCTTCTTCGAGCGGCGCGGGTTGAAGGAGTGCCATCCGATTGGGTGGAAGCCAACCATCCAGGTGTTCATGTTGACACCAGCGGACTGGGCAAGAGTGCGTTCAGCAGCCTAGGGAAGAAACAGTATGTTAGCAAGATTTCTAGTTTCATTGTGGTCCGAACCCAAATTAGAATACTCACCGAGCGAAGGGTCTCGCCCGACTCCACCGGCGAACTGGGGAATTTCCAGTGTCCCTCCTTAGACTGAACAAGGAGATAGAGCGTGCGGGAAAGCAAACGATCGAGACTCTTTTGGTCGTTCTTCTTGTCTGCCTCCGTGATCCGAGGGTACGGCCGAGGAATTTCCTCCTTCTTGCTAGTATCTTGGGAAGTCGCATTGGCAGTGGATTCTGCGTCCTGGACAAGAGCCTCAATCTGGTGTTCAGGCTCAGACTCCTTTGCTCCTAGCAGGAGCTCGTCGTTCCATGCATCGCTATCGTACGCGTTGTATGTTCCGATATCACGCGCGGCAGTCCGGCGCTCCTGGATCTTCTTCTTCCAGTCTTCATCGGCCGGTGTTCCACGCTTGAAGTAGAAATTTTTCGTAAAGGGGAGAGCCAGACGCTCATTCAGACGCTTCTGGTAGAAAAAGAACGCTTTCTCGAACGGTTCGAGTTCACGGGTGATTTGGGGAGGGCGGGAGAGGACTACACCCGCGTTGATGATGTAGGCTGGCTTCACGGCTGGATCGGCTGCTGTTGATGCGGAGGTCGATTCGATCGCTGGTACGGAGGAATAACTACGGCGGCCAAGGGTCTCTTGGCAGCTTCTGCACACGCCGGAGTCGATTATTGATGGCCCTGCACGCGGAGTCAGTTTTTTGGGACCTTGGATAGTTCGGGAAAAACTTCATTTGGACATACGCAGTAGCGAGGCTACGCGCCGTGCCCCATTAGATCCTGACGACATGTTCAAGGGTGGAATGGCAATGTGTTTGGGGTTGATCGGTGTCTGGTCTCCCCGAGAAAAAGATCCAACCAGGTCACGTTATCGCCAGGCCCGATTGGGTTTAGTCACCGCCTAGAGCGTTTAAATTTCAAAAATCGACTTTCCCTTTCTTTTCTTCTCCAAGCATCTCTTATCATCACTGCGTCCAGTTCTCTACGGCCAGTTGATCATTTTAAGGTGCTCAGAGTGAGCTCCTCCTGAGGTCGCGGCCAATTTTCGCTAGCGGTACCTTCTTTATCAATCAAGGTGTACTGTTAGATAGCTGCTGCGAACATCCCATTTAGCCTGATGCGTATGTGCTTAGAGATAGACATCCAATTTTACCGGTTTTTTTTTAAACCATCTTTTTTTTTCTCATCACTGCTCTCTATTCAATCTTTGTTTACCGGCAAGAACTCTCCTTTCCGCAGGACCACAAGTTTCCACCTGCCCTCAGATCTCCACCAGCAGCTCTTCCTTCTTTGGTACCCTTCCCAGTTGAACCATCCTCTCCTGTGTACCGAACACCCGCAGGATGTTACCGTAGGTATTCCAGAAGGCATCTTCGAGACGCGGCAGCAATTTACCCTGGCTGACCAGGCGAGCTATACGCCCAGAACCAGTGTCAGCTAGGGATGTGCCAGCTTGAGCAATCTGGGCTGGTTGAATTGTTGGCACGGTCTCAGTTTCAACATCAAAGAAGTTGCTAAATTCACTTTTGGGAGTAGGCAGACTGCTAGGCTGTGCCATGATTTCGGCAACCAAACTGGGTGCAGTGGTTGTCTGTGGCCGGGGTTTGACCGCCGGCTGTGAAGGGCTGCGCTGTATATCGCCTGCCAGTTTGATGAAGGCCATGGCAGCTAGCATGCTATCATATCCTGCTTCGTGAGTGCGCGTACGGAACTTATACTTCGAAAAGCGGGGGTCGATCTCTACAAAATGGTTAGCTGTGTTTCAGTGCTGTCAAGGATATAACTTGTGCGCTTACCTATCTTGGGGCTTCCTATTCCAGCTAAGGTCGTGTTTAGTTCTTCGAGTGAAGACATAGGGTTTAGAGAGCCGCAGTCATGAGTGGCCATGTACTTGGTATCCGCTAGCATAGGAAACAGGTCGTGGATGACGGTCTGGAACTCGACGAGGGTATTCGGCAGTGGGCCCAGGAAGCATCTGTAGAAGAAAAGCAGATCGCAGAACATGTTGTGGCCGACTAGAACCGGTCTGTTCTCCTGAAGCCGGTTCTTCACTTTGTCTGATAACTGCTGAACCCCAAAAGTCGGCTGCTCGATTATCTTCATCAAAGGATGGAAAGCGTCTGTTTCAAGTTCTTCCAGGCTTCCACCCACCAGTGCCTCTGCGATCCAGCGGAACCCGATCTGTTTTCGGACTCGTTTCATTTTGACCTTCAGTTTCGTTTCAAAGGTATACTGCTCATTGCACGGATCCCGAAATTCGATCTGGACGAACGTTGACGCACCCCGCGACGTTAGGTTGGGGTATTCGTCGCTGATAAGGTGGTGTACCAGCCATTTCTGCATGTTGCTCAGCCCGGTCGGGATGGAGCCCGGAATAAGCTGCATGCTACTGGGTGGTGGGATGTTGAGCCACTCACGGCGTTTCTGTACAGGTGTCAATTGATTTGCTCAGATCAATGCTTGATGTTACCTCTGACCTCGCCCTGTTCCAGCCACTCATTGACCCTGACCCGAACAGCTTCAAGGAACTCCAGAGATTCATGGTCATCTTTTTTAATGTCTGCAACTTGGACAGCATTCCGCGAGTGATATTTCTCCGTAGCTCTTCTGATTGCCAGTTTTTCGTCCTCTCGGGACAGGTATCGAACGCCGAACGTGCACATATGGTCAATGCTGAAGTGGTTCGCGAGCAAGAATTCCATTGCTGTTCATGGAGATGTTAGTGGGATGCTCAACCTTCGTCGTAGAATTCGGACATACAGCGGCTTCCGAATGTCCAGTCCCGATTCACATCCATCTCATGCTGGGCGATTGGACTGAGATTTATGTTGTATGGTTTCAGGGTGTAGGTGGCTGTAGACAGTCAGCGAGATACGTCTTGAATTTGGGCTAATTTTGTACCGTTTTCCTTGTCTTCATGACAAGTTGTCAGCCCAACTTGAAGAATTTGGTACCGCTCGGCGGCTGCCTTGGCTTCCACATATCGTTCCTGTACAGTCTGGGGTCGAGACTGTGGTGTATTTGGTTTGAAGACCACACCAGACAGCTCGAAGTCTACGGCCACGAAACAGCTGGTGGAGATGTCGTTAAGAATGGAGGGAAGGCAATCGGGAAAGGTGACAGCCGTGACATCCATGTTGGTTCGAAGCTGAGACCGGCATCAAAGTATGAAGTGAATGAAAGCAAGAGCGAAACGGATAGAGCTGCTGGTGTTGTTGAAGTCTTGATTGCCGAGAACTAAAAGAAGAGCACATGTATGCTTTGGGAAAGCATGTATCCGATTTTGATTGATCAGAAAGGACTTTAAACTCGCAAGTTGTCGAAAGAATCTTCTGATCTAAAGTGAGAGATGGGGGAATTTGCTGGTCTACTTGGCTGCCAAGTCTCATAGATTGGAGCTGTAATCGGAGGAAAGTAAGAAGAGAACGAGTTGAAGAAATAGTGATACCATGGAAGATCTTAAGACATTTAAATGTCAATAATCTCTTGGAGGACTAACATCGACTTTACTTCTTGACGAATAATCAGGCGAATTTGAATGTACGTTTGGTCAATGATCTTTTGGCTAAATGCCTTAAAAGAACATTCTCTGACACTTCTAGAGAGATCGCATATATCTCCACAAGATGCAGATTCTATATTAGCCCTCAAACCTATCTCAGTTGGGGGGACATGACTGAGACAACTCCCTGGTAATGTTTTTTGATGTCCTTGAGCGGAACTAGAGGCCGCTACTCTCGTAAATCCAGACATTTGGGAGAGTGGCCTAGAGTAGGTCAATTTCTAAAGCGAAGCACCTCACTTGCCGGGGAACCAAAACAAAACATGAAATCGGAAGTTGATCGAAGCTATGAACATATGAACATGCGATGTCCCGGATAGATCCTCCCAGACTAGTCCCGTGACCGACCCCGGACTTGGACGAGCCGAGGGAAAACGAAAGCCGATCACAGTCCCGACACGCCTTGAATGATTTTCCTTTTATAACTCCTTTTACTCCGACTGCTTTTTTGAAAGATTGATACTGCTATAATTGATCGATTGGCCCCCACAATGGCCACCGGACTACCAATGTCGACTCGCTCTCACGCATCCTCAGCTTCCCCCACAAAGTTGTGCTCCAAGATATACAAGAAAGCCTCTCAACTTTACCTCACACGACGCTTACCAGAAGCCTTTGAAAATCTCCAACCGATTATTATCCCATCAGCACCAGAGGACCAGCACACAAATGGAGACAATTCAACACCGGTGGCGCCGATCGCCACGGCCGCCGGCACGTGGAGAATCAAGATGTGGAACCTCTACATCACCCTCCTCAGCGCAATAGTCGATCTCGGCGCAGAGGAGGGAAAAAGGCAATTTGGCCAGAAAGAGTGGAAAGCGATTGCCTCGCAAGTCAGAGAGGGTACAATTTGGGAGACTGTGGTCGAGGTAGGGTACCAAGGCCATGAGGGTTCGGTGGATGCGGAAGTGGTCTACAACCTGTTCGTATTCAACATCAGCCCCACTGGCCCAAAATGAGATGCTGAAAACGCGATGCTAGTGCTACCCTGCTTCTAACTCACTCCTCTTCGCAATCCCTGAACCAACGGCGCCTTGAGACCTATCTCTCCTCCTACAGACAACCCAACCTCGACCTCACGGATCGTCTCGAGGATGCATCGGATGATTACGAGCAGCGCCCCATGCGTACGACAAGCGAAGCCGATACCCCGAAACATCTAACTGCCAGAGTCAAAATCGTCGAGCTCTTTACTTTGCACGTCCTCCCCCGCAATGATGAGTGGGCATACGCAACCGAATTCATCACCCTGAGCGAAGTCCTCGACGATGAACGCAAAGATCTCTTCCTACAGACTCTCGGGGGCATAAAGGAAGAGAAGGAGCGGGGAGAAACGCGCGCAGACGAATTGCAGCAAGCCAAAGACGCAGAGCGTGAACGGCAACGAGATGACGAACGTCGCGAAGCCGAAGAAGCCGCGACAGCCGCTGCGCGACTACAGGCTAATGAGCATAAGCGCAATACCAGCGAAGTCGACTACGGAATTGAGAAAAACGGCTTTAATGGCTCTCCTAAAGGCAAAGGAGCCAGGCAATCGACAGACAAGTTGCCGAATGGCAAGTCACAAACTTCTCTCTCCTCCGGCTCTAGAAATGTCAAGAAGCAGGACAAGGTAGAACCCCGGTCAACTCGGGCCGTGGCTACTGGACTGCGCGGTATCATCCGTCACATTATTCGGACTGTGTCTGGAAATCCCATGTCAATAGTTCGTACCCTGCTCTTCATGATCGGCATTTTGATGGTCATCAGCCGGCAGGGTGTGCGGGATCGCATCCGACGAGTTACAGGTGGCGCTTGGCAAAAGGTCAAAGCCACCGCTGGAATGGGTGTCAAAGTGAGCTATATTTGAGATATAGGCCACCACGATCTCTACCCGCATTGCATGGTTATCATGTATAATTTTTCTTGACCAAGTTGGCCTCCCAAATTTCTGGGGGGTTGTTTTTCCATACAACTTTCTTTTGTGATTCTCTATGTTCATGTATTCTATGCATACATACTAGACTGCCACCAGGTGTGGTTGAATTAATACTCTTATCCAAATCCGGTACTTGGTTTGTTTCAGCCAGCATTTTTCAAAGACGACCTTGGTAAATTGTCTCGGCTCAATGGCCATTATGTTCAATACACTGCCAATCAAAGACAGTAAGAGATCGCCGAGCTGTGCGATGTTAGCATGTCACTTCGCTATCTAACCTCTCCTCGAACAGGAGACTTGAATAGCGTACTCACACAAATCAACAACATCTAACGCCTGACTAGCGACATTGAGAGGCTGATTGAGCATATGAAAAGCAGCCTCGGCAACATGGCAACATGGTTCGCCAAAAGCGGCCAAATTTTATCATCATGAACTCTCCACAGGTTAGAGTAGACTGCAAGATAAATAGCCCACGTAAATCTGTCTCAACCCTCATCAAACTGTGCCTGGTCATTCTCAACCCACTGAGCATGGAACTATTCCGCAACAATACTAGGCCTCTACGCCAAACCCCGGATTAAGTCCCATGCAACTCGTATCACAACAAATGGATGAGCGCCTCTTGCGTTACCTTGTTGGAATAAACTGCTTCGGCTGTGAAAGGAGGTACTTCTAGACCCGTGAAGGAGGTGACATTTTATGATTGTCCCTGCTTTGCACGAAAGCGTAATGCAAATCCGGGAGCTTCCGGTAAAAAACTACTGTACCGTCAGGCCATCCCTCTTCCCACCCTCCCATGACAAATTGGTTTTTCCCAAACCGAATGGTATCATCTCGACCAACCGCGTGTAAAATCGGTTGAAGATGCTAGAAAGATCCTCGACTACTGCAGTTATAGGACTTTTGGTCGAATGGGAAACTCCAACAAAATCTTGAAAATTGACGTAGAATGTACGCATACTTAGCTGGCTGGCTCTAACTCTTGTATTTCAATGTTTTTGACCAATTGGTTGTCATCAAATCAGTCTAATAAGCACATCTTTCGTCACCAAAAGAAGGAAGGAAAAGAGTCCAAGACTGGGACTAAAGAACAGTCATCGCCACAGAGGAAGAAAAACCAAATCATCCCTTCTAAAAGGGTATTAAACAGTCGTCTGCTCATGAACACGTCCAGCGTGATCCCCGCATGAAACCTCAGCCATATCAACCTCAACATCATCGCGCGAACTGTCAGTCAAATCTTCTTTTTCAACGATTCGAGCATGCCACCGCCGAAACAACTGAACAAAGAAATGCGCCACACAAATTTGCTCCGTAGTGTAGAGCAGCACCGGCACCGATGTCTTCGCTTTAAGAAATAGATCAACTGGCTGCCACATTGCGTATAACAGTGGAATACCGAGTGCGGTACTCTTCGCTGGTCCGCAAAAGCACACTGCAATGGTTTCCTCCGGAGACATGCGTGTGAATATGGGCTTGGACCAGCGCCGAGAGCTGAAGATTCGCGGTGGCCTGGAGCAGAAGAAGCATACTGCTGTCAAAGTGATGTACAGTAGGATGTTGAAGAAGACCACAAAGATTATACTCTGCGGGGAAAGGGTTTGAAGGGCTCCTGTTGCAAAGCAAGAGGAAAAGGTGGCCCTGATATTGAGGAAAGCCGGGTTAGACAAAAATGAGGACCACCAGTTTCGTATAGAGCACTCGTTGCACTCACCAAATCAACAATAACAGGCAGAAAGTAGACAACTTGGGCAGCTTGGTCTTCTGCATGACCGACGCAGTGCGATCAGGCCAAGTCCACCTCACCAGCTGCCCAATAAACAGCGGCAGTAGCACACTGAGCCCCAGTTGCTGAAAAACCTCCTTATACATACTCCCCAGATTCCCACCCCCAAACCGCCAGGGATCGAACACCACCATCTTCGGTATCAACGCAATAGTCCACGCAGCCGTAACAAACGGCCCGATAAGATTCGCCAACAAAACCTCCACTAAAGCAGCCGCATCATCTCCACCCGCAGACCTCGTCATAACAACATTGGACGCAATCGTCGTCGGAATGCAAGAAGTAAAGATATACCCGGCCAGCACAGCGCGATCAATCTTCTCCTCCGTATCTGCGGCGAGGATAATATGCACGATGGCCAGCACCACGGCGGGAATGAACAGAAACGAAGTCACCTGCACGAGCAAGTGAAGTCGCCAATTCAGGGCATGCAATATAAGCTTCTGGCGCGGGATGCTCAGACCTGAGATTAGGAAGATTATCGCGATCACGCCGTACATGATGCTGTACTCGGAACGGATGATGCCGCCGTGCTTGGCAACGTTCGGGAAACGGTATGCCAGGGCGCAGACGACGCCAATCCCGATTAGGAGCCATTGGTGGAGGATTAGACTTGCGATGCGTTTCAGGGCTCGCTGCCACCGTGGCGGTGCGGTGTCTGGGGCTGATTCCATCTTTTTATTCTCTCTCTCTCTCTCTCTCTCTTTGTTTCAACTAGAAACGAGGACAGAGGCAGAGGTTATACCTCCGTGAATAGGTTGGCCTCTACTCCGTTAAAGGCGAGTAGATCCTTTTTGGGGCATGTAGGGGACATGTAGGGGAGTTTGAAAATTGCGTAATCGGCGTCAGTCCGATCCCTCGGAGTGATGGCGCGTAGAAAATCACATAATCTGTTTGAAGCTCTAGGTAGTTACATCACAACGTATATTTATTTTCAGTGTCCATCATTATGGACATGCGAAGTTTAAATTTTTATTTTTTTCCATCTTTGTATATCAAATCTGCAAGACCAGAACGGGATCACCGAAATCGGATTGCCGATCTTATCAGGTCGAAAGGTGGATGGTGGATGTCATAGATGATGCATGTGAAGGTCCTTTCGGTCGATCTTGAAACAATAACATGCCGACACTGTAGATCTCATATCTTGTTTGTACAATGTACGCTTATTTCGCACTACCGCGAGGTAGATCTCTTGTGCTCTGTATGTTGTACTGCAAGGCTCGTTGGACCAACCGGGAGTTCGGTGAAATGTTCATCCGATGGACGGCTCCATCAACGTCACCACATGTCCAAAGTTACACCTGACTATCTATTTCGACAAGAACCTACGAGCCCCGGACTATAAAGACCGAACCCAGCCAATACTACAGAAAGCCCCACGTTCAACCTTCGAATACTTTAATCATCTGACTCAGAACGTCCCATGACCTCTCTGAAGATGAACCTCGGCTGAGAGGAGCTCTAGCGTTGGCCCGAGATCACCCGCAAATAGCCAGCGGAATTCGCTACTTTCCTCCGAAACGCAAGCCCCGAAGTGTACTCATTTAGCTCCCTGAAAATCTTCGCTGGTTTCTAGGGCTGGTATAGTCTTCGGGCATATGGCTGCGTGTAAAAGAGGATGTAGATGTAGTTGGGCAAGGCACGAGCATTAATACGTTCTTTTCAGAACACGGTACATTTCAATTTGAAAATTAAGTATCAATATTCAAACAAAAGCCTGCCAAACCTATGACGATGGTTTGAAAAAGGCATGTGGAATCACATCATTGGAGATCTGGGGGGATTGATTCCGCGCTGGATAGAGCCGCCCTTGTTACCGAAGGCCTCGGGATTGTCTGGCCTTACACGTTGTACTCGGTACAGGTAGGACCTAACTATTATATAGAGGGTCTTCCTCGGCAAGTCCTTTGGTCTAATACCTCTTTTCATTTCTCTTTTTTCTTCGCTCTTTTCGTTTGCGGGAGGTCAGATGCACTTCCGCTCGTCCAGCTTCCTCCGCTTCCCCGTTGTAGCTCCCCACAAAGCCTGGAATTACCACCACCAATCATATACCCTTGGAATTTCGGGTTTCTTCTTTCTGTGAAAGATAAAAGATCTTTTGCAATTGATGCTTGGATCATTCTCAGGCGCTCCAGAGATACCCTCTTTCCCAATTGGACGGTGTTGTTGCTTGTTCTCCGGGGTTGTATACTTCCGCTTCTCCGCAGTTTCGGCTTTCCCTTGCGACAATCGGAAGATCTGCGTCACTTGATTTCCGAGACGGCCAATTGAAGAATTTCTGTGAAATCTTTGTGAACCAAAGTGCAAATTCTCTGCATAAAGACCACATATTGAAACAATGTCCACCAAAACTGCCAATCAGAAGCGCACGTCGCCAGCGGTCAACCTGATCGGTAGTGTAGACTCCCCCTTTTGGGATGCACAGCTATTGACTTTTGCCTGATTAGCTGGTGGTGGTGCCGGTATGATGGAGGCTCTCGTGTGCCACCCGCTAGACACAATCAAGGTCCGCATGCAGCTATCAAGAAGAGCTACAGCACCTGGGGTGAGTTGGGAAATAGTTTCACTTGACCGTTGAAGGCATCTCTAACCCAATTCGCTGGATCAGGCAAAGCCGCGCGGTTTCGTGGCCACGGGGGCTCAGATCGTGCAAAAGGAGACCGCTCTGGGTCTGTACAAGGGTCTCGGTGCCGTACTGGGTGGCATCATCCCGAAGATGGCCATCCGATTCACCTCATACGAGACATATAAGGGCATGCTGGCCGATAAGCAAACAGGCGCCGTGACCAGCAAAGCCACCTTCTTGGGTATGTGGATTGTGGTGAACAAGCCGAAAAATGCATAGTGGATAGCTAACAATTCCCCACAGCTGGTCTCGCCGCCGGCGTTACCGAAGCCGTGGCCATTGTCAACCCCATGGAAGTCATCAAAATTCGTCTGCAGGCCCAGCATCACAGCCTGGCTGACCCCCTGGATGCTCCGAAGTACCGCAGCGCCCCACATGCGTTGTTCACCGTGATCAAGGAAGAAGGCTTCAGCGTCCTGTACCGCGGTGTCTCCCTGACAGCCCTCCGACAAGGAACTAATCAGGCTGCCAACTTCACTACATACACGGAGCTGAAGGCTGCCCTGCAGCGCTGGCAACCCGACTACAGTAATAGCCAGCTGCCCGCTTACCAAACCACCATGATTGGTCTGATTTCCGGTGCCGTCGGTCCCTTCTCCAACGCTCCCATCGACACCATCAAGACCCGTCTTCAAAAGACCCGTGCTGAGCCCGGTCAGTCCGCTGTCTCCCGTATCATGGTCATTGCCAAGGACATGTTCAAGACGGAGGGTGCTCGCGCTTTCTACAAAGGTATCACGCCTCGTGTGATGCGTGTTGCTCCCGGTCAGGCCGTCACTTTTACCGTGTATGAGTTCCTTAAGGGTAAGCTGGAGGGCTCCAATTGGGCTTTCATCGGTGGCAATTTTGAGGAGTAAATAAGCCAGAATTTCATGTTTGTTTGGAAAGCATTGTGATACCTGACCCGGCATGGTCTGTTTCGCGCGTTGGGCCGTCTTGGCTAGAGCTGTTCAACTGCAAGCCGGCTGAAACAACTCTTTTTCTGTAAATATATTATTTCTTTTCTATACCACTTTGTCTGGTGCATTTTGAGCTGAAATGGAGAATGTCCAAGACTCTTAAAGAGTTGTTCGCCAGCGTGGTTGGTTAGGGGTCTGTCTATGAATGACCCGGTAGATTTAGATACACCAGTCCGCGATACTTGTGTCACGGCCACAAAAAAAAACGGATTTCTGTCGAGTGAAGATGATGATGGATTGCCTTTTTTTTTCTGTGATATAGTGCTGGACGTAGAAAGGTCAAAATAAAGCCAGCCCTAACGGCTGACACGCCATCGGCCCCTCATTCACCGCTCCTCCCCCCCCCCCCTAAATAACAACAAACCAACCCAGCTGCATCCTCAAGTGCAGCATCATGCAGTCAGGAATTACAGGTAAGACACTATTTGCCATGAACTCCCGAAGGAATTCCATTGAACTCAATACTAATAAATCGTCTAGTCTCCGCGGAGCTGCAAGATGCATTCGCCCGCTTCAACTCCGACTCCTCAACCTTCTGTCTGCCGGTAACCATCACAGCAGAGAACCTAACACCGCTGGCCCCAATCTCCTTCTCAGGTGGCCCCTCGACAAATGCTTTCTTTTCAGCCCTTCCCCAGCTGTCTTCCATCCTCCAGCCTAAAACCCCCATCTACCTCCTCCTCCGGCGGCCGTCGACCGGCTCAACCGCTGCACTCATCGCTTTGACCTACATCCCGTCAAATGCACCTGTACGAGCAAAGACACTCTTTGCCTCAACCCGCTCGACCCTGACCCGCGAGCTGGGCACAGAGAAGTTCGCTTCTACCGTCTTTGCTACCGAGGAAGATGAGATCCTGGGCGAGGATGCGTGGCGCGAGCGGGATGGCGAGGGCCCCAATGTTATTTCTCGTGAAGATATGATGGGCGAGAAGGAGAGGGAGCTGGAGGCTGTTCGTAAGGCCGAGGCTGAGGCACGAATTGGTACCCCCGGGAGAGATATTGGCATTGGTGGCACTTTTGGACTTGGCTCTGGCTCTGGGATGAGAGTTTCTATACCGGTTGATGAGGGCGCTAAGTCTGCTCTAAGGGATCTGCAGGATGGTGGCTTGGTGCAACTTGTAAGTTATTACCCTGTTGCTTGTGGTCATTCTTTGAGAGCACTCGAAGAGATGGGCCATGTATATGGGATCTATGAGACTTGGGGCTAACTTCGAACAGACCGTTGATATCCCTACGGAGAAGATCGTCTTGGCCGACTCCAAGTCTGGAGTCGAGCCGAACTCTGTTGCCACACACATTTCCTCCTCTTCGCCGCGTTATTCTTTCTATCATTACCCCGGATCCGATGTCGTCATTTTTGTGTACACCTGTCCCACTGGATCTTCGATCAAAGAGCGTATGCTTCACGCCAGCTCGCGGAGAAACGCCATCACCGTTGCTGAGCAGGAGGGACTCAAGATCGAGAAAAAGGTATGCTCGCCCCGTGTTGTGGATGGTCGTGATTTTTTTTTATCAGTCTGGATGCTCACAAATAGCAGATTGAAGCCTCTAGCCCTGACGAGATCACCGGCGATCGTTTGCAAGAGGAAGTCACTCCGGCTCGAGACCAAGGTTCTACGCGAGGATTCGCCAGACCTCGTCGCCCCGGCCGGTAAATTTCAATTGTGTAGATAGAATGTGTTCTTGATGAGGCTGGAAATCTCTTCAGTTTTAGCGGGCGTCAATTCGATAGCCGCAATAAATATAGCAGCACTGTACTAGACTCGTTATGCTACTGTCTCAAACTTGATCACTGCTTGTTCCGGCGAGACTTAGGAGGTAGAACTGGATCTGGGGCAGACCTTTAATCGCATCCCTACCTCCTTTGAAGTGATTTGGGATGAAGGAGTTGGATATTTAAAATGGCTATGTTAGGGATGTGAACAGAACGCAAACTATCTTAAACAATACCCCATGAGATCCTAAATCCCACATAGACATATCCAAAGCAACAAAGAAGGCTCCCGGGTATTTGTCAGTGTCGGCCTAGAGAATTAGAGCTATCCCACCACATAATTTGACACAAAAAGGTCGACTACAGTCGAAAGCTAATAAATCACAGTATCCTCATTATCCTCAACAACCTCGCCTCCGTCATCATCTCGGTGAGCATCATGATGATCTTGAGTCGCGCTTTCCTCCACGTTAGTGGTGGTTTCATCCGTTTTGGCTAGATCGGGGGTTTGGTCATTAATGTCTACACCCACCGTGTCCGGAGCACCCTGAGCCGTTTCCTTAGACTTTGAGTCTGTCGGATCTGCCTCGTGCTCTGGAGCTGATGGCTGGTCTGGATGACCATCTGATCGCTGCTGCTCTTCTGGCATTTGCGGTTGTTCTTCACCCGCCTGTTGTTTTGTTACAGCCTGAGTGGGCTGTGTCTCAACCTGGGTTGGCTGTTCGGGTGCAAATGCCTCTGGTGGATATCGGGCTTCGAACTCGGCGACTTCTCGCGCAATAGTCGCTTCTGCTTCTTCGATCTGCTGTTTTATCACCGCGTCGTCGCCAGTTCGGGGTTGCCATGGTTTGTAATACTATCATTGGTTAGCTAATGGGCACAGTATATGAATTGGAAAGCAGAACTCACCAGAGCCGGCTCTGCCTGTGTCTTGTGGAAATGGGCCAAGGCAAGCATGTTCGAATGCCGTGTTTGCAACTTGGGATGAAGAAGTCAGTAAAGACTCTCACCACTGTACATCACAGCGATATGTAAGTAGAAAGAACATGGACATACCGCTTCTCGCTCATACAACGGCGTTTCCCTTCTCCGAATTTCATCACGCTGTTCCTTGCGCCGCTTCTTCAATTCACCGTACTCGGCGTCTTGCGACTTCAACTTCTCTTGCTGCTTCTTTTCAATATCAGCACGCCGTCTCTGTGCAGCGGAACTTGAGCTCTGCGAGAGAGTCCCAAGCAGCCCCCCGAATAACCGCTGGCCCCGCTTGCGATCCTCCTCTCGACCCCCACGCGGTCGCGTAGGCTTTATCTCTACAGACTCATCCGTTGTAGGCGGAGGGGATGATGGTCGACGCCGCTGACAGCGCGGGGAAGTTTGATCTGTAGAGCTGAGTCGTCGGCGCTTAGTGTCGTATTCAGTAGTTGAAGACTTTCGTCGCTTAGCAGTCAACTCCAGAGACTTCTGGATGGCATCCTGGCTGGGCACAGCCACTGCTGATGCGAGTGTCTCTGGGCTGTCAAAGTAATGTGCATGTTAGCTAGAACGGTCCAGTCACAGGCTTGCGCGCGGGTTGCACGGAAGAAGAGAACCATACCCTTCAGACATTGTGGTCGGCAAACAACGTTGCTTGCAAGAAATAACCAAATTTGTGAGAGAAATGAGCGACGTTACAGGTTCTGAACTGGGTCAGATATTGGAGTTGAGGTCAAGAGGCGCAAACAACACGCTGCTTTGAATCACACTGCTTGGAATCACGTGCACAGACCACTTAGCCTTGGTCCACCGTCGGCTTCTCTTCTTTGACCCTCTTTTACACTAATGCTCTTCTCACTTTTCCAGCGAGTGCCTAATCATACCACATTCCACTTTCCACTTTCTACAGCTTTAACATTCTAATTTTCTTGTTTCACCCCTTAAATCACAATGTCTCGTCACCACCCTGACCTCGTCATGTGCCGCAAGCAACCCGGCATCTCTATCGGCCGTCTGTGCGACAAATGCGACGGAAAATGTCCTGTGTGTGATTCCTACGTGCGCCCAACGACCCTGGTGCGTATCTGCGACGAGTGTTCCTTCGGAAACTACCAGAACAAGTGTGTCGTCTGCGGCGGTGAGGGCATAAGTGATGCATTTTACTGCTTTGAATGTACGCGCCTCGAGAAGGACCGCGATGGATGTCCCAAGATCATCAATCTGGGAAGTTCGAGGACCGATCTGTTCTATCAAAAGAAAAGCTTCAGGAATCAATGATCTTGGCTTGTGGCTTGGTGTCCAAGTGGAGGGGAGCCAAGCATGAGTCTGGCGGGTTCACAATTTTCAGCCTATTTCAGCCTAATGACGATAAAAATGACTCTACCAGCTTTCTAAATGGGAGCACGTCTAATACACTCTGTCGGTGGGCTATCTAAACCTGCTCCAGCTGGGTTTATCTGGTGTCATGTGCCTGCACCGAGTCGGCGACTGGAAGAGATCAAGAAACACGTGGACCCGGATATAACCCAACGATATGTCCCTGTCATCTGGTCTGCTTTTGCAGCACTGTGCAACGCTACCCCCCAGAAAATCGGCAGACATGATGGCACCGTGCCCTGGAAAATCAGACCCCGAGGATCTGCGAACACTGTGCAGATGACTTGGCGAACCCAGGACCAGCGGGGGCTTCAGGTGGAGCAGCTGGACTCAAAACAACCACCGCATGGTTAATGATTGACACGTGTGGGTTCTCGGCCGTGTTTCGTCGATTGCCCAGACAGCTTTGGCATAACGCAAGCCCAAATCCAGGGCTTTAAGGTCCGATGCCTAAGTCTTCCTTTCGGAAAGTTCTTTTTTGGTCTTATTCCCCAGGAGTGTGTGGTTTCCAATTTTAATTCTCATTCTGAACAAATTCGCGCTTGTTTCCGTGCAGACAAGTGGCCAATGGCCGCGGTGGCTCCTATTTACAACTAGAATGTGTGGACCTGTGGGATTGAAGCTGGGAATGTCCGCTTTTGAGGCAAGAAACGGCTGCCTTTCCACCCGCAACTATGGACGTCCAGCTGCCCCTTGACCACCCACTGCCCTATAATACCACTATTCTACACTCGCCCAGCACTTTTAGCCATTCTCCGGTCCTAAGATTGACGCTCGACTCACATGGTTTTTTCCCTCGTTTCACTCCGTACTGGCCACTAAAACGACGCCGAAAATAGCTCCCCTTCAGCTAAATCTAAGTCCTCTCCTTTTTCGCCCAGTCTATCTAAGCGCCTATTAGATACTTCGCTTTCCCTCCCTTCCGGTATTCTTATACCTCCTAGTATCTTATCCTCGTTGCCTACTCCTTAAGCCGACCTTAACGTTGTCTTTGTTTAAAATACGAATTTTCTACCCTAGTCTTTACATCTAATCTCCTTTTATAGTACCTATGCCTACTGTTATGCTGCTACCTATGTATATTAATTTTCTACATATTGTCACGGTGCGAACCGTGATGCTTAGTAAGAGGAAGATCACGGCAAGTGATCTCCGACCTGTTTATCTTGAACTTCAAATCTAGATCCTGTTGTAGCTCTTCGAGCTACGTCTTGTATAATAGCCTGCCCCTGCCTGTACTTGTCAAGGGGAATCTGATCTGTTATGACCTGTTCCTACCAGTCATCTCCTATCATACCGTCCTGCCAGCCCGCACCCTGACGAGGGGAGAGGATACTGTTTTGTATGAATTTTGTAACCTAGTAATCGCTTACAGAAAGAACTAGTATTTTAAAGAGAAGAAGATCTTCTAGTTCTTGTACTAGAGTAGGCTGGGGACTAATCTATAAGAATCCATAGAGAGTGTCTATTTTTGAAGAGATTGCTCCTTAGTTTCGGTCAATTAATAAGAATTAGCGTAAGAAATCTCGCGGCAAGGGCGAAGGAGGGTTCATTTTGGGACTTAAAAACGCCGCGCTGCCTTAGAAATAGAGGTGATTACTTGGTTCTTATGTCACAGATAACCATGTGCGCTACTATTTATGTTGGTCCTGGGCATGTCAGAGCTCTCGCTCTGATGAAATGGTCTGTTGGCCGTGCGGAAGGGAGTGCGCCCAGGTACAACCTTTTACGTCTTGATGTTAGATCATGTGATAATAACTAATTAGGTTTCAATCACGTAATTAAGACCGGGCTAGGTTAAGAACCACGAACGGTCTAGGACATGTGACTATGATCACACATGAGACGTCCCGTTCTGAGAGATAGACTCTCCATTTGTGATCCCAGTGTGTGGAGAACCTTAATATACATACCACTGCAAGTCAATTCATGGAATTGACTTGATTATGATCTTTTGGTCTAATAGGCAACTGCTTGGAGTAGTGGCAGATCTCACTTTCCTTGACAGATGGTTTCTTTCTCCTTTATATTAGACATGACATGACAACTTGTCAATCAATCTCCACATTCTACACTGATAGGATCTCCATCCAGTAGATGTGCCACCATCCATTGTAACCGTCGACACTTGATAGCTTGTATAGCTAGTAAGATCCTACCCTCTTGTTTGGTTGATTTTTGAAAGGATTGAGATCGCGTCTTAGTGGCATGGTAGGTAGTTGAACTGACTAGGTGCTAATTCCTAGACGCGTTTTTGGTGGGGTGGACCACTCTGTACGAAGTACTCTGTAGTGAAATACGATGACATTGTGCCATACTGTCAGAACGTAGGTGGTGGGGTCTATGTGATAGCTTGGCGCCCTATAGGCTACCGGCGTGCCGAGGCACTGGGAGGGGCTCGGGGTGCCACCTCTCCGATGATTATATATCAAAAAAATATCATTGTGAAACCTGTCTCCCCCAAACTGTACATTGATCGACTTAATAGCCTGTCGGTGTACACGTGTCTTTAAGCACTCCACGCAACATAAGACCCCCCTTCCTTACAGACCGAACTTGAAAACATAATCGTGGAACTATCACTGCCTAGATCAACTCGCCATGCCAATCGACAAGATCCAAGTATCGGGTGACTCCCGCATTGAGTACAAGACCGCTACATTGAACGGCTATAACTACTGTGAGAATACCACACTCCCAAGCAGAGCTTATGATCTACAGTATTTATTAGAAATTTTAATTTGAACTGACGATTTGTAGCCTACATTCTCAGCCAACCTAAATCAGGACAATTCAAAGCTACTGTCTTCCTGGTAAGCAGCCAGCTCAATGAAAACGTCACATACGTTGACGTATACTCTCCATAGATCCATGGCTTCCCCGATCTCTCCATGGGATGGCGGTATCAGATTCCCATGCTCGTAGACATGGGATTTCGGGTGGTAGCCCCCGACTGCCTTGGATACGGACGGACAGTGAGTCTTTCCACCCTGTTCTGGGAATTGTAATCTAACAACAATCCAACAAGGATGCCCCGGACGATTTCACCGCATATGCCCTCAAACGTTGCGCAGCGGACATCAAAGCCCTAGCAACCCATCTAGGCGAAACCCAAATCATCCTAGGTGGACATGATTGGCAAGCACACCCCCCGGAGCAACCTTTTTTCCCCCAAGACCGCACAGCTAATACACAAAACAGGGGTGCAGGACTCGCCTACCGCATTGCCCTCTGGCATCCAGAGCTAGTAAGCCATCTATTCACAGTCTGTGTGCATTATGTCCGACCCACGGCCAAGTATTTCCTCATGGAAGACCTTATCCGCGACGTGACACCGAACTTCGCGTACCAGCTGCAGTTCAAGAGCGGGGAGGTGGAGAAGGTTGTTCGGTCGAAGGATGAGATCCGTCAGTTTTTGCTCGCGCTGTATGGGGGGCGCACGGAGGCAGGCGAATCTGGGTTTGATGCCTACAAGGGTGTTTTGCTTGATAAGCTTGGCGAGTTGAAACTTTCCAGGTTGTTGAGCGAGGAGGTAAGTTGCATTTATTTGATCTGGGATTGGGGCTCGTATGCTGACTTTCTCCAGGAGTTGGAGTTTTATACGAATGAGTTTGTTCGGAATGGGATTCATGGACCACGTATGGCTTCTTTTGATTCGTTGGTTAGATTCTTGCTGATCACTTCTATAGTCAACTGGTACCGCACTCGTGATGTGAACTTTGAAGATGAACTTGCTGTTCTCGACCGGGAGATCCAGATTCCTACGCTATTCATCCAGGCGCTGAGGGATCAGGCTTTGCCGCCTCACTTGGCCAAATCTATGGCGAAGCAGCTCCCGCGACTGACTCTGAAGCAGGTTGATTCCTCACACTGGGCTCTGTGGGAGAAGCCTGAGGAAGTCAATACGATCATTGGAACTTGGCTGAAGGACCAGTCTGTTGCCAATGAAGTGTCTGGCAAGCTCTGATTGGAGAGATGATAGGCATGGTAGCATGGTAAAATAGAAAAATCGATTGGTTATTGCGAGAGTACATATCCCATGTCGTCAAAGTGTTAAGAACATGCGCAGCATCACAAGTCGCGAGCAGTTGCCTTAGCCAGAATAGCTGCACAGGGTTGGAACTCACCCCGTAAACTATGAAGGTATTTAGGATTGTAACACCTTGGTTTCGATTTTGCAGCCGACTTTCTCCAAACGGTCGACGTAGTCCTGACCCAGCGTAGCGGGAGTAACAATACCACCGCGAGAAATTTTTTTGATCTTCTCCTCCTCGTTAAGAATAACCATAGCAGCCTCAGCCAGCAACAGTCCGGTGAATGGGTACATACCGCCGTGGTAAGTGATTTTACCGAAGACACGCTGTGGTGAAGCACTTTCCGTAGTAGCAATGGCATGGTACTCGAGAAAGTCATTTGCCGAGTCTTCTCTGCGCGGGCCAGTGCCGGGGGCAAAGACGAACTTCTGCACCAGCCAGCGCACCGGCGGCAGCGCAAGCAGCGAAACCACAACCAAGAAACCAACATGGAAAGCGACGCCGATCATCACGTTACGGACCGACATGAACTGACGAAAGAAAAACTTCTGCCCGTACAACTCTGGCATCAGGCTGCTACTGCGGTGCACGATGCTCATATCACAGACACCAGATAGGGAGGTTGTCACGGTACCCAGGTCGGGAATGGAGCGCACGCCGAAGACCTTTTCTAGGATTGATTCACCGGGAATGTTCTTTGGTGGCGGGGATGCTGCCAACGAGAAGGGGGTCATTGTCTTGGATAATTCGGACATTGAAAACCCATCGAAGATGGTCAATACAGTATTCAAGGTACCGCCACTAGGACCGGAGGATCTATAGTGAATGGATTAGAGATGTGCTCCTCTGTGGACATAGAATACATACTTGATTTCCTTAATAGTGCTGTTGATCTGGCGGGTTGAAGACGAGAGGTCCTCTCGGACTCGCTTAACCAGGGACCACGCCAGCAGATCAGCAGGGGCGCTCTCAACACCAGTACAAGGGATCATCTGTCTGCAATAAGCACATATATTGATAGAAATTGGTTGCAGAACGAACAATAGCGCCATTAGCCTTGGCAGTGTCGTGGTACTTGTCGATGATCACCTTGATCCAAGGTGTTTCTCCAGTACTGCAAAGGTTAGTTTGTGTTCGAAGGACTCGAACAAATACAAAGCTAAAACTTACACATCCACGTAATGAGTTCCATTGACAGCGCATGCCTCAACGACTGGGGTCGAGTACAAATGGTATGGACCCACACAATTGATGACCAGCCGTGTTTTCTGCGCGAGTTCGGTAAGCTCGGTGGAGTTCAGTTGAGTTACCAGGACATCTGTGATCACATCAGAATGAGCTTTGAAACACCAAATGTCGTCGACAAATGGGACCATTGAGGTTTTGTACCTGGGTCCAGGCGATCTGGGTTAAGAGTCTTTAATTCCTGAGCGATAGACTCCATTTTCTGCGCGGATCGACCGGCGATAGCCCACTTCAAATCGGTAGGAAGGTTCTGCACAATGTGCTCTGCGCAAAATCGGCCAGTATAGCCAGTTGGGCCCAGCAAAACCACGTCATATTGTCGGTTAGAAGTCATGGTGATTGAGTTGATGGCTTTGGAGTCTATGAAGTCGTTTTGTAGAGACAGGGACAAATCACAAGCTCCTCGGTACGCTGCAAGATGCAGTATAGGATAGAACTGGGAGCAGGCGGGATAGCCACGAAAGGGGGTTTGAGGATTTATATAGAACTAGACGCAACACATGTTACACAATTGAAATTCTACCTCGACCTTGGAACTACAGATGTTCATGTTTCATGGCCGGGAAATATCACGTGATCGGATAGATCGATTAGCCCGAGCGAAGGAGAATGGGGGTCTCGAACACAATCAGGGCCGAATTAAAATAGACATGGATATGATTGTTACAGTATTGCACGAGGTCGTTTCTTTTTAGATGATATAAAGGGGAAATTGGACTTGGAATCAGACACCTGAAATCAAGGGCATCAAACACAAAACCCCTCCTAAAAAACCCCCCCTATTCACCATCAAATCAAACAAATTGTTGGAAATTCCACCAAAATCATCTCCACCAACACCGTCATCGTCTCAATCTGGTGGACCTTGTGGACCACAAAGTAAGCATTGAAAACCTGAGGCCATCAAATTCCTGACATAAGCCCATTAACTCACAGGGTCAGGTGATCGCACGAAGCCAAGAGCCCTAAGCGAGAATCCACAGCACAACCCGCCCTCATTCAAAGCGTCTTTTTTTGGACTCTTGTTGAATACCCATCTTCATCCTCTCCACCAGCCAAGATGACGAAGCGCACCAAGAGTATGTGCCTCTTTTTCAAATTCAACACACTGCATACCGAATTGCTCAATGCTAACGATTTTCTACAGAGGTCGGCATCACCGGTAAATATGGTACCAGGTATGACATTCGCCCAACTCGCACCCACACGACTGTGATTTCTTCGAGACACACGAACCCAGAGCGATCGCCCTCCACGACAAAACGGATTCTAACAATTCCCCTTACAGATACGGTGCCTCCCTGCGTAAGCAGGTGAAGAAGATGGAAGTCACCCAGCACGCCCGCTACATCTGCACTTTCTGCGGAAAGAACACCGTCAAGCGCAAGGCTGTCGGTATCTGGGAGTGCAAGGGCTGCGACAAGACTGTTGCCGGTGGTGCTTACACTGTCTCGTAAGTCGACCACCATCGCAAGGAACGACACTGTGACCCGACCTGGGAATCGACCTGGGATGGGCGTACACAGTCGTGATTCACAACGCACAGCACGGGGAAAGAATACTGACAGCTTCATTTTCTCTAGCACCCCCGCTGCCGCTGCCACCCGTTCCACCATCCGCCGTCTGCGTGAGATCGCTGAGGTCTAAATGGGAGGATTTTGTGGTTTCATTTCTCTTTACGGTTACGTCTGAATACCAAAAATGAATGAATAAATTCGGGAATACGAATTCTTGTTGCAATCCGCTTCGCCTCGAGCATACCGTATTATCGATGTGACTGGTTTCCAAAATCCACCACGGTCGCTTCCTACATGGTAGACAATTCTCCGGCCAATCCAAGATTCTCTGCCTGACTCATTCGACGTTCTGCGACCATGTGAATCACATGGATGGACTGCAGATCTGCGGTCGTTTGTGGGTTTTCAGGCGCTGGACAGTCACGTAGACTCGAAGAGGTATGGGTGGATTTCGGGTTGGTGGCCACCTGGCTTTAGCGTATTGTCTGGGTTGATCGACTGCGCTCCGGACTACCATCTTCATTCGTACTTTGAATTTGCACCCGAACGTTTTCTCTAGATGCCTGGGATACTCCGATCCACGGGATACATACCGAACTGACACGATCCTGGTCGCCTGCTGACGATTTGCCCGGAAATCTAACACGATGACTAAGGTGGAAACGGTCCAAGGCTGCCCAGGTGTGATTCGGGTTTCAGCTAAATTATCGGCGCCTAATGTGGTCATTTCGATATGTAGATCGGCCACCTTGCCTTTCCCTAGGCACTTAGTGTAGTCTGCGTTGTACAGGGACCTTGTTGGATGGTCAAGAGGATATCCATGACCTGGTATGAAGATCAGACTCTCGGAAATAGTAGCCATCCACAAAGAAAAAAGCACTTGCATGATTCTCAATCTTTATTAACATTGTAGCAAAACCAATGTCCAAATAGTTCAATCCAATCCAGGGCACCGTGCATCATTCGCCTCCGTCACGTTCCTGCTTTGCGTTAGTCCGGTAATCCGGCCCACCTTCAAAAGGCGCTCCCCACACCTTTCTCGCTTCTACACTTCTCGGGAGTCGCTCTTCATGGACTTCGCCTTCTCTTATAAATCTGTCGCTCATGTCCGATACCTGTATTGTTTGTTTAGGAGACCTTGGTGAAGGAGCGGGTGATCCTCTTGAGCCTGTAAGCCTTGATTTGAAGGATGGCGACTTCAATGGGCTCGACTCTCAGATCGCTCGGTTACTTCCCTGTGGCCATGTCCTACATGATAATTGCTTAAAACCGTGGGTTGAACGAGCGAACAGTTGTCCGATATGTCGGCGCAGTTTCAATATGGTGGAGTTGAGTGATGGTGTCGGAGGTATGACACTTCCCCCTTCCTTTGACTTACAACATGGTTCCCTTTTGGTTATAAGTACTGACGACATTGATTGATTTTAGGAGCTGTTACTTCATCCTACGCTGTGCAGGACCGAACCCAAGTGGCCGAAGTTGACCCTTCTATGATAATAGAATATGTGGAGGATGACTTCACCGATCTTCAACCATGTACAATTTGCGGACAAGCCGACAACGAGGATGTTCTCCTTTTATGCGATGGGTGTGATGGGCCTTCTCACTTATACTGCTTAGGTTTGGACGAGATCCCCTCGGGGTCATGGTACTGCCAACAATGCGAAGAACTACGTGCTCTGGGACCGGCGTCCGAGGTATCAGCACGGCCGTCTCGGGCGATCGAGCAGCGCAGTCGACGAACTAGGGCTCAACAGAGACGACTACAAAATCGAACCCAGACGAATTCTCTACATTGGGCACGAGTCTGGCAGTCCGTTTGGGATCATCTGAATCTCGATCTCGATTTCCCATTCGATGACGATCGATCTGCTGAACGTGCGATGCAACAACGCCGTCGCGAGGAGGCCAACCAGCGTGAATTTCAAGCCTGGCAACGCCGTTTTGAAGTCGCTGAGCGACAAGGTGGCGGCAGCCGGTTTCGTGATACGGTATCCCTGTTCGATCTTGACCATGCCCGACCATCGCGACCCCGGGTTCCTAGAGTTCCGACACCAGAGCCTGAGTCCTTGGAAGAGATGCGGGCTTGGAACGCCTTCGAAAGGGCACGAGAGATCGAAAATAACCCGAGCGCAGCCAGGAAGCGCAAAGAGCCGACCATGTCGCCGTCCCCGGAGCCCACAGAACCAGAGCGCAAGTTGAAGCGCCCTCGAACGAGGAGGCCACAGGAGCTCGCAGCTCGCGCACAGCAGACTCCAAATGGTGAATCATCCAAAACTACGAGCTCCAATGTACGACCGAGTAATGATCCCGCCGGACCAAGTTTCCTGTCATCATTGTTGAAGGAAGTCGAAGACGCACCGAGTCATTCATATGGACCTTCCGCTTCGACATCTGTCGCTCCTGCTGACCACCCATCTCCCGGTCCCTCTTCCCCCTCCATCTCTCCCGCCTCATCTCGTTACTCTTCCCCTCTTCTCTCAGCGGCCACACCGCCACTTTTTCCGCGAAGCCGGCCCATCTCCCCTCTTCAACTATCCTCCCCTGCCCAGCCCTCATCTCCTCCTTTCTCCCCCGAACTATCATCGGGTAGTCCATCGTCAAATGGCGCCAAAGAAAATAAGCCACAACGCCAGCCCGGCCGTCCTCGCTCCCGCATTCCCCAACGAGCACTGTGTTTCGGGGCCTCTCGCTCACCCGACTCATCCCCCACTAGAGCCGGTCCATCCTTAGCCCTCAAAGCCGATATACAGAAAATGGTGGGCACTGGGTTAAAGCCCCACTATAAGAAAAAGACCATCTCGAAGGAGCAATATACAAACATCAATCGATCCATCTCTCGCATACTCTATGAGCGGGTCGGCGACAAGGAAACCCTTGAGCCGGATGAACGTACCAATCTCGAAACAGAGGCCAAGCACGAAGTGCAGAATACAATTGACGCACTGAACATGAAGAGCAAAGAAAAACAGAAACAGCGCATGGTCGCGACCGACACCGACGGTGATCTATAATGACTATACCACGAACTCTCCCCGGCATTTAATGGCGTTTCTTCTCATCTCAGCGAATCAACCTTTTTGGCGGAATGGATTGGAATATACAACTGGCGTTTGATCCTTACAGGCTGTCTTTTCCTCCTCCTCCTCTTCTTCTTTTCCTTCCGCGAGGTATCCCTGTTAACCGATCTTTTGTGCATAACACCCTGCGTCGATGGGAGTGATCATTTTTTTTTTTGAGTGGAGCTAGTCTATTCCTGTTCTTTTTGCTCCATACTGTGTCTAAATATCACTTTATCTTCTGACCGTAGGAGGAGGTACGGCCACTCCTAGGTAGCCTCGTCATCTTTGGTCCATTGGGTCTTTCTATCTCCTAGTTGGGTTTCCAAATTTATTTATTTGATAGATGGTTCCTCGGATAATCTTTGACGAAATTTATAGGACGACAGCGACAACATCAGATTCGATCGGGGATCGATTTGGCTGCAAATTCATAGAGAGATCTAAACAATGCACAAACAGTAAGTGCCAAAGTGCTGTAACATAGGACAAAGCTGATTTTGAACAGTGTGGTATCATCGGAGGGACTACAAAACATACCGAATGTGAGGATTCTGATCAGAATTGACACTTGGCAAGAAACAAGCCAATGAATCCGCTCTCGCTCTCGCTGCTTTTAATCGGTCAAAATGTCCTGCTGCGCATTTTCATATCCCTCAGCAGTCTTCGACTGAAATCGCTTGCGATTTTCTCAAACGCACACAAACTAACGGATATGTATAGTGACACCGGCAACGAATGGGGTCATAACAAGAATAACAGATCTCGGCACATGGCGAGGTGCATCCTTTCCATGAAGATGAGCAGACCGGTGAAACTGCCTAACCAAAATCAGCCTCAGCACGACCAAATACCACAACCAGACAACCAGACTTACACAAAATATCCAATATTAAGCCCCGACGAAGAAAAAGACCGCTTCGTATACCCAACAATAGTGACAATTCTTCTTCTTCTTCTTCTTCTTCTTCTTCTTCTTCTTCTTCTTCTTCTTCTTCTTCTCCTTCTTCTTCTCCTTCTCCATATGTTATCACCGCTATGGTTAATGGGGACCTAGTCGTGGTATAGTGTGCCGATGGAAAATAGTTTACATATCCAGAAGACCGAAGCTAGAGCTAGAGCTCTTGGCTCTTACGCAGAGGTCCTCATTGTCTAACCATTCGGTGCCTTTACTTTGATGTATATTTAGTCTACTAATTTAGCTTGGTGCATCGTATAAGACTTGAATAGAAGTAGTCGTTGGAAGGAGACGAACTCGTAAGAGTCTGAAGGCTTATTTAGCGAGCAGTTGGTGATGGCGTAGACCCCCATAAACAGATTAATTCATTTTTTACTATAGGAGACCCGAGAGCTATCTGCGTAATTCTCTGGAGCATCTATTTTTGCATTGCTCCAGAGAAAAAGGGCCAAAGGATCTGGGGGTGGAGGCAACATAGTAAATCGAGCATTAACACTACTTTTCATTCAGTGGATGAAGTGCATGGATGTAGTAGTATACCCACTCTGTACACATTTCCTTGAATGTGGGGTATTATCCCCAGAGACAGCGGGGAAAGAGTCTTGATCAGGACTCCCATTCTAGGTCTCTGTGTATCCGTGGACCGGCCGCTTCCTAGCTACATTCTCCTCGACTAATGTATGGCCCAGATTCATTGTCGGATTCAGAGACTGCGACTAGCGCAAGCGTGTCAACCCATGGGACTGCAAATAGCTCGCATGATCGCTGATTATTTTGAACAAGCTGGTACCTAGGTCAAGGTCAAGTCGACCTGAGAAATTGGATTGGAATGATATTGCTGTTGGATAGGAGTGTTAGCCCACCATGGTTTGGTCGTTGGCTAATTCACAAGGTAAAAGAACAGTCGGCCGTTTGTGTGGCCTTGTGATATCTTTTTCGCTGGTCATTTGCAATGTGACGGCAGTCAAAAAAAGTGCCCTTTGTGCAAGAGACTTTCCTTTGGGGAGCCTTTGACTTGAATATCTAGTTGCTCGACAATCATAGCGAACCCTCCCACGGATTATAAACTTCACAGTCACTCTTTCACATCGGTCGTAAATCCGTGCTGCATGAGATATTCGTTAAGCTCCTTATCTTCCTTCTCCAAATCCAAATCTCCACTTTCAGGTAACAAGTAGTAGACCGTCATGCCGAGAACAGCGACGCCGCCAGCCAAGTAAAAGGTGGAGCTGTTACCAGCATGGTCCCGCAGGGGGGTAAAGCACTGAGTACCAACAGCAGCACCTGTTCTACCGAAGGCTGTCGAGACGCCATATCCCATAGACCTCATGGCAGTAGGGAAAGACTCAGATGATATAAGCCCAATGGTGGCACCAGGTCCCATGTGGCCGAATGCTTGCAACAGACCATACAGCACAACGAAGGCGGCAATATTTTGAGAAAGCTTCGAATATGTGCCACCGATAATGAAACCAAGCACAACATATCCAGCGAAGCCCAAAATTCCAGTCCAGCGACGTCCAATCGCATTAGTGAGCCAGGCCCCCAACACCACGCCGGGAACTGGCAAGACCGCCAAAATGACCTGCCACACAGCAGTCGTTCGCACATTGTGATCTTTAACCAAAGATGAGATGATCGTGCTGGACATGATGCTGTTGGGGAAATTAATGAAATCATACAGAAAAAAGGCCACCGATGTAGTCAATAGTCTCCCCCAATAACGCCGTGCCAGAAGGAGGCAAAGGCGCCACGACTTCCGCTGCCGCTTGAAATTGGAATAGTGGAACAGAGACGAGTCCACCATGAACAGTCTCAAAACTACAATCGAGACTGGAAGGAGAGTGGCAATGGAGTAAATGGCATGGAAGGCAACAACAAGGTTGTTGTCCGTGGCAATGAGTGTGATCAAATAGATGATCATCAAAATTGGGCCCGCGAGTGTGGCCATCAACGTCGTAAAGGATACAAACATCGGTCCTCTATATTTACGCAGGATCTAAAAATCGTGAGAATGTATCCAAGGTAGGAAGAGGCGATATGCTGACCCAGTCCGATTCTTCAATGCCAGCAGCGGCACTAGGAGGATATTCACCTCCCACGCCGAATCCAGCAATTCCACGAACTACAACAAAATACCACAGCATCTTGCTCGAGGGATGTACCTGCAGAGCCAGTGCCGCCATCAAAGTGCCGATTGCGACCAAGGAGGATGTAAAGAGCAATCCAGCGCGTCGTGAAAACATATCTGAGGTGTATCCGAAAACCACAACGCCAAGGATCGCTCCGACAATGACCGAGTTGCTTATGCGAGTCTTCATCTCGGGAGAAAATCCATCAGCTCCAAGCACGTGCTTAAAAATCACATTTGTAGGATTGGCGAGGGTGTTTTGAAAGCCATCGCTAAAGTTGGCGATGTACTAGGCGAGTTAGCGGGGGAAGCTCGAGTCAATCCATATCAGACTCACACAACTGATAATTGTGATATTACTTTGCCATCTGCTTGGACGATATGAAAGTGTCACTTCTTCAACATCCCTATCAATAGTAGTGGCATTTTTCGTCTCGTCCGGTGGACTGCATGGTGTCTCGCTTTCGGCCGCCATATTTTTTTTTTTTTTTAAATTTATGAGGGGGTACTCATTAGTTTTCGCCTTACTTCAATTCAAAGGAGAATTGCTAATCTTTATAGGGGTTGACACATAAAAGAGTGACGTCCGAATGTAGCCCGAATCTAACCCGACGTACTTTTTTTTTTAGTGTCAAGCTTTGATCATAAATGCATAATTTTGCTGATATAAGCATGTATGTCGGACTCCATGGTTTTTAATCTGATGATATGGTTCTAATTGAGGTCACTAACTAGGTCCAAAAACGTATACAGACGCACATTTCTTCCAACCATTTATCTACATCATCTTCTCTCATTCACGGCACCCCTAATAGTCAATCTTTATGCGGGGTTGCCAATGCTATGACACGCTATTACCGGTAGCCGAGCCGAGATGATGTGGGGAGCAATGGCGATGGTGATGGTGATGTGTCTTTTCAGTCCTCCGTAAATGTGCTTGAATCTGAACGTTGTACGTGCATTGAGTACCCCTCTGTGACTGCCCCTCCGTTAGTGGATTGCACGCCTTTAATAGCTACAACATTAGTGGGGTTGGTTTCAATCCGGATAAAAAAAAGACGAACTTCTTAAGTCTTAATTCTTTTTCTCCCCTGCTACTTTAAGCAACATAATTCCCGTTACCCACTACTACAATGGCCGACTTTACTGAATATGGCAGGCCAAGCGCCGAATGGATCGCTCTTGAGCCTACGCTGCCTGAGCCCCCCAAGGATCTCTCGGCGGAACAATTGAAGACTTTATTAAACAAGGGTCGTGAGGCAGCCGCCGCCCAAGATATGATTGACGGCCTCGGTGCCGCAGTTCAATTGCACGACTACACAATCACAGCTCGCGACGGCGCGCCCCTCCAAGCGCGTACCTACCGCCCAGTCGGCGTCCCAAACTCCGAGCGCCTGCCTGTTTACGTCCATCTCCACGGTGGAGGTTTTCTTTTCGGGACACTTTCTTCTGAAGATGCCATTTGCTCGCGGATTGTCACCTCACGTACCCAGAAGGGTACCCCAGTCGTGGTCTTGAACGTCAACTACCGACACGCCCCCGAATATCTCTATCCGACTGCTTGGAACGACGCTGAAGATGCGTTTGTCTGGTTACATGAGAACATGGCCGAGATTGGCGGGATCAGTGAGCAGGTTGTTGTGGGTGGTATTTCAGCTGGTGCATGGTTGACTGCGTCGTTGGCGCTGGCTCAACTGCGCGGCGAGGATAGGCGCTTAGCGGCCTGCCCCAAGATCGCGGGACAGGTCCTCATGATTCCGTGTCTTGTACAATGGGATTACTATGCACCGAGACTGGAACAGCTCAAGCATCCTGATTTGTCGAGCTTTGTGCAATGTGCCGAGGCGCCAGTCCTGCCAGTGGCTCGAATGAAATTATTCAACGGACTTCTCGGGCTCAATAACATCAAGGATGCTGCTGGGGATCGTCGGATGAACCCCGGAAATGCTACGGCGGAAGAGGTCAAGGACTTGCCGCCGACGACGTTTGGAATCGCGGGAAATGACCCATTGAGAGATGAGGGTTTATTCTATGGACAGCATCTCGCTGCGAACGGGTGAGTTTGCCGTATCCTTCAAAATTTGGGGGTTCAAAAACTAATTCTTTTATCAGCATTCCCACTAATGTTAATGTCTTCCCCGGTGTCCCTCATGGGTTCAGGAGGTACAAGCAGCTGCCCGACTGCAAAAGGTGGGATGAGGTTATGAGCGATGGCATTGCCTGGGCACTGACAAAGCCTGCGCCTCGTCCATTTGAGATTAAATCCAAATAAGAGACCAAGTTGTGGGTCGAAAACGCATGTATCATTTTGGGATCTATCAGTGGATATTAAGACAGAATAGTAACTATTTGGTCGTAGTTGCCCTGTCAACGATGCTGAATTATGCGCATTTTAGGCCAGATTAGGGGAGTTATGTAAATCAGGAGGATATCAGATTAAGTCAATTGTTGTAGAGAATAAAGGAGGCGTCAAGGGAAGAAAGAAAAGAAGCACAAGATGACACCAGGCCATTCACCGCTCGGATCCACAATGCCGATTGTCCGATCTGGCAGCCGCACATGTGAGTCTTTGTCTTTATCTACTCTCCTGTTTCTTATTTTCTCTTCACCTTCAATTGTCTGGTCATTATGCATGTTTATTGTTCACTACATGCAATGTAATTCTAATCCGCTTTCAATCCCGCATTGAAATAAAGGGCGGGCCCCTCCTCTCCGACAACCATCGCTTTTGCGCCAAGCGTTGCCTCATTTCTTGTGCGCGATTTGGAACCAGAGCCTTTGTCCTGAAAGCTCATATCGTGCCCTTCTCTCGTGCTTAACAATTGTCCTGCGAAACCTGAACCCCACACACTACAATGCCTCCCTCCACCTCCACCAATGGAGCCTCCTCCACCCCCGACGCCCTCGAATCCGACCTCCTCGTCAAGCTGTCTGCCAGCTGCGCACTCGAAGATCTGCAGGAAAACCTCCTTGGCTCCCTCCACCGCTTGGGCTGGACAGACAAAGTGACCACCCTCGCCACAGAACTCCTCCGCGCCGGCCGCTGTGAGACCTTCGACGACGTGATGGCGGCAGTGCTCGCTTCGGCAGAGGGCCGAACCCACCCCGCACTGGGGACCAAGAGCATGCACGGTGAAACTACAAACGGATCAAAAGAGACCAATGGTATCAAAAAAGGCAACAAAGCCAAAGATCACCCATACGACCCTCTGAAGTACATTGAGGAGATCGATATCCGCATTCCGGAGACCGTGGTCGACGAAGGCGTTCGCGGATTGAAAGACATCATACGAGAAGTGGCCGACTTGGAAGGCGAGAGCGCGCCCAACGGCGACAAAAAATAATGACAGACACCGGGCGCTGGGAAAGCAGCATTTCAGAATGCGATCATGCATGGCGGGTTCTTTCTAAGGAGTACAAATTGTTACAGCCTGGCTGCTACAAATTTAATGGGTCCACATAAGAGGGTCTACGGGCACTCGTGCATTTGAATAGACTATCAATTCATGGAGTTCTGAATTTCCCCTTTTTCGAAGACTGCAGTTTCTCGGACTTAGAGCCCAAGTTGATGACGCAGTAGGTACTCCAGTCCTAGGCCCCACAAGGCCTCTTCGATTATCTTTAATCCCCACAGATCGGATCTCTTGTGAAAAAAGATTGATTCAGGTATGGGATTTCTTCTGTCGATTTTTTTTTTTCGCTTCGGTTGAAACGCGGGGGCGCCGAGCAAACCCCCACGGGCATAGCCCGAGACTGGAGATAAAAGGCGCAAAACTAGTGATAGTGTGTCTGGGATAAACATTTGAGATCTCTTGCATGCGCCTCTAGTAAGAGATAGATGTTGCTTTGGAGATGTATGCCCCAATAACCTCGGCATGAGTCATTCCACCCAATCGGGCGGTATGTAGTTTGTAAAATGCACTGTTACTTCCTAGGATGACCAAGTACACATGCATGAAGCGACAATTGCCAACTCTTCTCACAATAGTTATGAAATTGTCACAGCCAGCACCAGCATCAGCCATGCCTCTGGTGACGACCCGTAGTCTTTGGATGGTAACATATCAAGGAGTAATAGATCGCTTCTGAACCATCCTAATACGTACCAACTAGTCTTCTGTCAAACCGTAGCTCAATATCGTCAATGTTAACTAGATTGGCACGATGTATAGATGTAAGTGGCCGTCGGCTATTTCCGCAAGCAACCCAATTGTCACTAACAGTATAGCTCCATGGATTGACTGCGTTGCTCGATCAAAATCCACTCAAGATCCAATCTCTAACAGCACATAGCTATGTCAAAAGTGCCATCCGATCCGCCAATTACGAGGCCTAGCTCATAGCCAAGGCATAGAGTTTATACCTCCAGAAGATGCTGCAATGTGCATGGTGGAGCTTGCAACCAAAGGAACAGTCAATAGTGAATACTCCTGATCATTTGAAAAGTAAAATTCACACTAACTGATTCACCAGACCACACACCACTCACTAATGGCCACGCCTAGATATATTTTCAATGAGGGCTCCAAGGATGTTGGCATAGAAGACCACACCAAGAACGGTTATCTCAAGCATACGGAAAAATTTCGGCTTGGCATTTTAACAGACCAATGGGTGCTTGATTAGAATAGAGGGGGAACTGCAGAGGGAGCCACTAAGCCGTAATGATTTGCGTAGGAGCTTGGCATGAAATTGATGAAGGCGGGGTGGATGACAAATTCTATTCAAACATCCCAGAGATATGTCACAAAATGTCATGGCTGAACAAGATGTTCCAAAGTAGAAAAAGAGAGAAGAGAGGTACATACGGAGTAGTCAAAGCGTATAGACCTGGCGTATAGACTTTGCGAGGTTCCAAGGTTCCAACGTTTTCCCCGTGAAGAGTCCAGGCCCAGTCACGTGAACCATACCATCAGACAAGCGTCTTCGCCTAATCTCGACCTTTGCTCAAGGCCTGCTCCGAGCTGTTAGTTTACTTTTGGCTTCAGGGAACAGAAACATATCACTCGCTTTGACCGGTGGCCTTACTTTTTCCGAACACCCCTTTACCGCCGTGGCCCTGAACCACCAACCTTCCCCGCTTTGGATTGTTGATTGCCGCGTACTCGCACTCGACGACAACACCCCTCCTCGGAAAGGAGTATCGAGAACAGAGTTCGACCAGAACACAACACACGCAACATACCACCCCTGACTGCTAGAATACCTTTCAAATCCGCTCATGAAACCTTCGAGTCTCGACGTCCCCTCATTCCGCCCACGTTTTGGAAAATAGAGCATTCGGCGCAATATTGCCGATACTCCTTTTGTTTTTTTTTTCTTTGCTGGCTCTATCACCTCGACTCTGGGGCCGGCGCCTGTGAATCCCTCATACCACTCACCTCTGCTTTCGGTGAATAGAGTTTTGCCACCGAGGATCCCCCGTCATGTCCCTCCACACCTCCTACCACGCCGACTCCGATGCGGACGATGAGTACGAGCGCAGTGTCATAACTTCACCACACCTTCACATCGACTCGGAATCTTCTCCCACCGACTCCTCCATTCATTCATCCGAACACACTCCGACCAAATTTGGACATCCGATCGATGGGCCTCGCTCACCGCGAACACTCATTATCGAATGGGGTATCGATGAGTGCAATGAATTTTTGACCTCACTTGGACTACTGCAATACCATGGCACATTTCGGGGTAAGCTGACTTCTTCGAGCATATTTACTTCGCGCTGTTTACTCACTTTAACCTATGACGCAGAGAACGGGATTGTCGGTGAAGCCTTGATTGCCCTGAAGCATGAGGAGCTGAAGGAAATGGGCATCAACAGTGTGGGACATCGACTGACGATTTTAAAAAGCGTGTATGAAATCAAAGTCAAGCAAGATGTTCCTCTCGATGCAGATCATTACATACCACTTAGTATGTTCTCAAACGGCCCTATTTAACATCACTTCTAACCCATGCTTGCAGCTGCTGACCAGAGTATGAATGAAACTGCGACACAAGAGGATCTCGCACGTTTAATCAAGTCGATCCAAGTTCGAGACGAGAAGCTCATGTTGGTTGAAACGGAGTTGCGCCGGATCACAGACGATTACCGGCGATTGCGCGAAGAAATCCTGCCAGTGATCAAAGTCGTAAAAGATCGGTCACAGCCATTGCCTCCGCCTTCTTCGCATGGGCAATCTTCAGAAAACTGGCACGACAGCACGGCCACTCTCACGTCAACTCCCCAACCTACAATCACCCAGGAACTTTCTTCATCGTCGAAAATTGCGCGGGCCTTTTCCAAGCGCATTCATCCTAACAGTGCCTCATCCAAACTTAACTCGCCAACATACCCTCCATCTACAGGCTATGATGGACGCTCTCATCACGACACTCTTAATCCGTCCGGCACAGCCTTGGCCCCCTCATCCCATTTGACAGCCTCAATGAATGGAGGGTCACAACTGTCACCTGGAATTCCTTCACCAACATCACCTCACCACCACCACGCTCACCCCCAGACACTCAATCCACGATCATATACCCAACCACTCTCCAGTGCAAACCGCAACACGGCCTATGATTATGCCGAACCGACCCCGACAATACATTCTAGAGACCGATCCACTCCGAGTCAGCTTACAGCATCCCGTGTCGAGACACCATCTACTGCATCACGTTTGGACCCACGACTCGACAGGTCTGACTCACGGGGTGGTGGCGGCGGAGGTGGAGGCAGCGAGAATCCAAATAGCGTGGAAATCTTCAAGTCCTTCCGTGTCTCTTGGGAAGACCCCTGCTACAAGGTCCTACCAGCTGCTCTCAAGAAATACAACATCAACTCTGACTGGAAGAACTACGCGCTTTACATTGTGTATGGAGATCAAGAGCGTTGTTTGGAATTGAAGGAGAAACCCCTTCTCTTGTTCAAACAGCTAGAAAAGGAAGGACGGAAGCCAATGTTCATGTTGCGGAAGATCCACGTGGACAACGCTTCGGGAAATTCAGGGCTTGGTGCACTAGCACCCAACGGCGCTAGCTTCAACGGTGGTCAAGGACAAATCAATCTTCCAGGCGGCGTGCTCTGATTCTTCTCGAGGTCAGTTCTCCTGTTTTGATGCACACTTGTCTGTGGCTTGAGAAAATCGGTGGCTATTGACCACGTGTTGTTCTATTGTTCCGTTGCATTTGATTTTTCAGGCCCATTGGACTATGTCGTGTTGGTTTTGTCGGTGTTTGGTGTACTATTGGAGAGCCGGTATACTGTATTCGGGAAATGGGTTTATGGTGACATTGGCGTTTTCTGCTTCTCTTGACGCTTCGATCCCAGACTCGTCGATGTCCCATGCAGCATTGTATTAGCCTTTTCTTTTTAACTTCTTTCAAGATGTCCTTGACTGGCATAGGACCTTTGGGCGGTTTTTTTTTAAATTGCATAGTGCACACTGAGCTTGTACATGAGATTCCCATTGTTCATTCATATCTGTGGACTTCAAATTAATTCATTATTTGCAAGAGAGACCATGTACCACACATTTGTACGGAGTACAGAGGAACTGCTTCTTGGGCGTTAAACCATCAACAGTGACTGTCATTTGTTCGCAGGATAGTGCGCTTTGATGCCCGTGAGCCGGAATTGGGACATGATCCTCTGGAAAAGCACACATCCATACTGCCCATGTACGTTGTAGTTTGCACCTACTGGTACATCTAAGAAATTGTGACGTTCAAAAATGGGAATCGACATTATGTTCAGATCTAGCTCTATACTAGACCACAAGTGGTGATTTAAAAAAAAGGAATGTGACGTCCTCCCCACAGCTGACGCCCATAGGGCATCCCGAAAGATGCCCCAGCATAGCTATAAAGTGTTGTATAAAGAGGTACGCCTTTCTATACTCTCCAGGGCCGGGAACGGAAGAAAACCCACATAGGCCGAAGCCATCGGATAAGCCTCAGCAAGCCACAAAGTGGAGCCCCGTGAAGTTGATAGAAAAGGAAAAAGAAAAAATCAACAAAAGACGCGGGGGACCCGGCCGTATTTATGTGATTTTTTCTACGCTAGAGCCGATTGGGCATCGGCAAAATATTTTTCCGGATTTCTAGTAATGTGAAATAACAGAAATCTGCAAAAAGAAAAAGAAGAGGTCCTGCCCGGGATCGAACCGGGATTGCTGGTATCAGAAACCAGAGTGATGACCATTACACTACAGAACCTGATGTGTTGAGATGACTTTGAAATTTGGCACTATAAACTTTGCAGCTCATCCGCAGTTCAAATCTCGTCACTCAATTCCCTTGCCAGAGCGGGCGCTGTTTCTAAGATGCTGACTGGTTCAGACCAGGCTTGGTGGTCGGTACATAAGCTTTCCAAGGCGACTTCCACGCAGAGAGGTACCCGAGGCACATCACATTAAAAATATGAAAACTCTGAAATTCCGATTTTGATTATACTCGGAGCCACCGTATTGCGGGAAGGTTTTTGAGGTTTGTTGTGAAGCCTGCGCACTACATGACCCAAGTTGCTAGGCCACATGTTGGGGTGAACTTTTGGATTTGACATCCACCATTATCGAAGTAAATTGACTACTTACCACAGCTGGGTAATGAAATTAAGATCCACTACCAATAGGTGTAGAATTCTACATTGCTGACATCTAGGCCGTGCTAGTCCAAAAGCGTGTTGGTTGCATACAACATTTGCGTACGAAATCTCGACTGGTGATGTTTTACGAAGTTCTTCAATTTTATGCACATTTAACATTGGAAGAAGAGTAAAGCTCTTCAGATGATTTGTAACAGTCCGTAGGCAACTATATAGCTGATCTGAGAAAAGTTGGAAGCTCACCAGGTCCAATTGAGTCATTGGGTGTGAGTTTTCCAAGACAGTTCTCGTTATTTAATTAGCAGGGGTTTTGAAAGTCTTCAAGGGTTTTTGTACCCAATTCCTAGTGGATAAGTGGATTGTCAGGGACATGAAGCTTTTATGCGCTCGCCACACAACAATTCGGTTCTGTAGTGTAATGGTCATCACTCTGGTTTCTGATACCAGCAATCCCGGTTCGATCCCGGGCAGGACCTCTTCTTTTTCTTGTTCCTTCTGGCAAATTCCTTTTTTTCCTGATTGCATATTTCCTTTTGACCTCTTTTTTTATACACTTCGTACGGAGTGATTTTTTTTCCCCGATAGCAAAATTATCAAAATCTAATCACGCTAAGCCTCAAGCCCTTACCTCCAAAGCCTACCATATCTGTACGAAGAATGGCCTTGGACCCTGAGGTTGGGTAGAACTGTTCCATGGATGGCTATCCACGTGGCTTAGCTAATGCGGACTCTGGGGTAAAATAGACAGCCCTGGACGATGGAGAGTCCCAAGTCCCAAATTCTTTATCTCTGCCTCTGACATTTCACAAGTTAACCCCACAATAATGACTGGGGGTTTAACTGTTGACCATATCGACGACAGAAGCAGCTACGTCCGGTCGCCATTGCCAACCAGAGTCCGGAGTGCCTGCGAAAGATGTCGTCGCCACAAATCTCGGGTAGAGCCACCCTGGTCCTGGTCAGGATCTAGTGACGTATACTTAATCTAACTTGGACCTAGTGTGATCCCGTTCGGCCTTGCTCGGTGTGCATTCGAGCCAATGTTGATTGCCAACTACCTCCAACCATCCAACCACGGAGGGCCACTCTGCCGAAGTAAGCTATACAGCAGAATGCTTTCAACCTCTTCTTTTACTGACATGAGATATTAGGCGCCTGGGTTCTAAAAAAGCCCCGCGAACTGACCAACGTCGGTCTAAACTGTCTCCGGTGACTCCTACCGAAAAGTCACCGGATGAAAATGGCCCTATTCGCGGTCAAATACTTCCTGGTCAGAGTAGATCGATAGATACCCACCCGAGGGGCGAGGATACTGACTTCCCCGTCGGAGATGGGGATATGCCTTCATCTCTCAACTGTGGTGAAGCCGAATCCGCCATAGGAATTGCTCGAAGAATCTGTCAACTTGGCAGCCATAACATTGATGAACAAACCACATCCGCCATACCCGGCTATCAGGCCAGCGTTGGTGTGTCCATGGCAGATTCGGTAACGGGCCAGCGCGCTCCGATATCTTCCATATTGCGCCAGCCGTTCCCTCCCATGGAGCTTGTTTGCAGTCTGTTGGAAGAATATTTTGACGCTATACACTGGTTTTCTCTCGCCGTTTACGAGCCAAAATTTAGAAAGAGTCTTCTTTCTATCGCGGATGGTTCTGCACACCCCTCACAACGACCGTTTCTCGTGCTGTTAGCCATGATGCTTGCAATGGCATCATGGTACCGATCCAAGAAGAGTTGCACTGATCCGACCGAAAACGGCGAGGATATGAAGAAATTGAATGCCGACTTGTTAGGGCTGGTTGAGTCAAATCTAGTGGAATTAATGGATCAACCTTCTGTCGCCTCGGCCCAGACCTGCATTCTCTTAGGATCGCATCACGTCTACCACGGCCGTCCAAATCTCTCTTTTTCTTTATTAGGAGCAACCATAAAGATGGCTCAGTCTCTAGGGATTCACCGGGGACTTCAACGGGGGGACTTCGAAAATATCGAAGAAAGAAAAAGAGTTTGGTGGACAATTTATACATGGGACCGGTTCGCTTCAATTACCTATGGCCGGCCATTGGGCATCAACGACAAGGATTGCAATCTGGACATGCCAGCCGATGTGTTTGAGAACCCGAATTTTGTTGCTCCGGCCTCCGGTGAGGCAAGCCTCATATGCTATTCGACTTACCAGCGGGAATTGAACCAGCTCTACTTGATTGCATCGCCTGCTCTCAAGACCGTTTTCGGCTCACGCACTCTCAGGACGTCCGAGCAGCTCAACGGTGACACATATCTCACACTAGTCAGACAAGTCACCGAGAACCTCCAAAAATGGCGGTCCTGCCTACCGAGTCATTTAGCGTTGGATCTTAATCGGGACCTCAATCCCAATGATAGGCCGAGCTTGAGGGCATACGCCCTGCAGTCTCTGTCGCTACAGCTGACTTACGACAATGTTCTCATTGTGCTGCATCGACCTCTGTTAGCACGGCAGGTTGATCATCTCTATACTGTGAATAAGCAGGCAGCGGAGGAAAGCAGAACAGACAATACCATGTATAATCCGACCACCGCTCCCTCCGTGGCCCAGTCGCGCTTATCTCCCGACTCTGCATTTTCCCATACCCAGATCACAAGTCCTGATCTATGGAAGAATGCCGCAACGAGAACATCGAGAGTCACAGAACTGCCAGCTCTAGCTCAGCTCGCCACCGAAAGCCATCTCTGCGCATTTCTCGCCATCAACCTATTCAATGCCGCGATTGTGTTGGCTGTGATAGCTCTTTCGGAGCCTCTTTCCGATACCGCACAGGAAGTGAAACGAACAATTACTCGCATTCTGCGCCTGCAAGATCTGCTTGGAAGACGGTCTGCATTATCGAAACAGAGCACGGCTGTGCTGAGGAATGTCGTAATTATGCTTCTCCGTCGTGAATCAGCTGCCATGCTTGCTCCCATTACCGGAACAAGCCAAGTAGTGGGTCACCAGCCTTTGCAGACTCTGGCAGATCCGTCATCGATTTCTGTTGAAGACACACTTCGGATGCCGCTCGATGCGGCATGGGATTCTCGCAATCCTCTTGCCAGGGACCAACGTCTGCCGGACCTCAGCAGGGCTGATCGTCTGAACAGTAGCTTATCATCTGTTCAATATGGTAAGAATTACCGTCCATGCCAGCTAGCTAAAATGATGAACATACTAACGCAGACATCTTCTTCCAGCTTTGGGCCCAGGGGACCGCTCTGCCGGTATTGCTACTGGTGGAGATAACCTTCAACTTGGTGATATTGTTGAGCCAGGCATGCAGACACACGAATCATGGCAGTTGCCAGCCGAATACGATTGGAACATGCCTGGTCTTTCATGGGAACCCGTTGAAAACAATCACCAAGATAGTGTTGAAGGCGGGTTGTATTGGTTATGGGACATGACATGGAATGGGATTGGGGGGTAATTGGCGGTCTATTCAAAAATTACAGTCACAAAGGCATGCGCTATGCTGAAATTGCTTTGGCCTCTTCCTCGTCGACATTTGGGCCATAGATTACACTCTTGATTCCACCGCGGCCGGCGACGTTTTTGAAAGCATCTTCAGCCTGACTGAAAGGATATTCATGAGTGACAAGATCGTCCAGCTTGACTCGGCCAGAGTTCAGCAACCCAACGGCCAATTTAAAGTCTCCAGGCCCGTACCGGAAGCTTCCTTTGAAAACAATCTCCTTGTCACAGATCAGACCAACCGGAATTGATGGGTTCGGTTTTCCCAGGCCGACTTGAATGAACGTCCCGCCCTGCGTGAGGGCATAAATACCACAATTCTGACAGGGCTCGGCGCCAGTTGCATCCAGGGCAACATCAACACCATCAGGGAAGCCAGCTGTCGCCAACAAATCCACCGCATTCTTTTCCGGCGTCTCAGTGCTCATTTGGTATGTGTGTGTAGCACCATACTTGACCGCGGAAGCAAGCCGAGCCGGGACGACATCCACGGCAACAACGGTGGACGCACCAAAGGCCCGGGCAACGGCGCAGCAGAGCAATCCGACAGGCCCAGCTCCGAAAATAACCACTGATTTATCTTGCATGAAACCTGCCAATTGACAGCTGTGCACAGCCACGCTAAGAGGTTCGATCAGGGTACCGTCGCGCAGGGAGATGTGGGCTGGGAGCTTGAAACAGCATTCTGCAGGCACGCGGTAGTAGGTAGCCAGTGTTCCGTCGTAAGGTGGTGTCGCGGCAAAGCGCATCCCCCGACAGAGGTTGTAGCGGCCGTTGCGACAATGGTTGCAGGTGTTGCAGGCTATTCCAGGCTCTAGGGCGACTCTGTCTCCGACGGCGAGGCCCTGAACACTGCTTCCGCCCTCTATCACGATTCCTGTTGACTCGTGGCCCAGGATTATGGGGTTTTCGACGACGTATGGCCCTATCCGGCCATGTTGCCAGTAGTGGACCTGTTGCGGTGAGGATTTTGTTAGTATTTGTCGCTTCAAGAGAATAGAGATGACGAAAGAGCGGGGAGAGCTGAGGAGGGGGGAGAGTCGAAGCTATCTCACTCACATCTGAACCACAGAGACCTGTTGCCATGACTCGGACTATGACATCCCGGTCTGACTGGATTGTGGGTGCGCTGCGTTCCTCGAAAGCAAATGTGCCTCCGGGATGCAGTACGAATGCCTCATTGGTAGTCTAGATAAACATTGGAGTGAGCAGGTGCAATCTCAACTCGCTCACGCCTGGGGTCGGGACACACCTGGGCAGCTTTTGTGGCAGTCATCTTTGTAATTTTTTTTGGTTTGATTGAACAGAAAGCCTCCGGAATTCTACTGAGCTTTAAATACTATGAATGTCCTAACCCTTTTACCCACCCGAAATGCTTGCACGGCGAACGGATCCTTCATGTTGAGACATTTCCGGTGGATACTCGATCAGCTCCATGTTTCGACCCGTGTTCAAGACCCGGGCCGTACTAGTTATACGGGATGCCGACAGGATGCTTAAATGGGGAAAGCAGGACCAATAGGAACCATAGGAACTCTTGGCTCACATTGTGTGGCCATTTCCAGCCCAATTAAATTAAAGCGTCAACATAACCTCTGGTCATCTGACTGATTCAATATTTTCCCGTACCCCCAGAAACCGTGTTATCTTCCGGGACAACATGCAACATCTATCTGCCCAGCCGGAACCGCTAGATATTCGCCACCGGAACCGAGATCATGGCTCCACTATAGTCCCGGAACCGTTCATCTCCCCACAGAAGCACGGCCTACCTCGGGACATCATGGCCAGTTGAACAAAGACTCGGTAGTTTGGCTACGTGCATGTCTTATTGATTATTAGGGTCATGTTTACCGACCGAGCCAAGGCCGCCAGGGACTCCCATACTGTCCAACAGCAACCCCGGGCTGCATGAAATGAATGGAAATGATAAATCACTGAAATGGTGACCCCGTGGTGTACCCCAGGGTCCATTTTCCCATCAACCTGGGGATCATTCCTAAAGGGTCGGACAGGGCTTGGGGTACAACTCAAGCTGTTATCCTCATCTCTTGATCAAATCAACCAGTGGGGTTTACACTCGTTGTCCTGGTTGTTTAATTCATCCTCGGTACTATGAGAATCACCGAAGATTTCGAGCCAACACCCAGTGGGACCCTTGGGGAACGTTCTCTCGCCATCGCCGCGCAAGTTGAGGAATTATGAAGCTGGCTAGTGAGGAAACTTAACCCCAAGCAAATTTCAGCTTGATATCCCTTCAAAGGCACACCCTTACTGTATGCAATAGGTGCCTTTGGCGGCTTGGGGGATGCAATCTTCGGTTTACCTTTGGTATAACATTCTCGAACATGTTGTCAAGAAAACAGTCGGAATTAACGTGGATTTCCAAATCCTAGCGAACCGATAGTACGCCTTCGTCATGCTTTACAGTATCCTCTACGGATTCACCTGAGGTCCGACACTGTGACTTCTACCTGCAGAGATCTTCCCGTTCCGGGGCCGGAGTGAAGCCATGGCCCTGGCCACGACTAGTAATTGGACCTTCGGCTTCATCATTGGAATGGTCTCTCCCGGCGCTTTCTCTGGAGTCCATTTTTTTTCCTACCCAGTGATTGCGGAATCCAGTCTTCGTTCGGCCATCCGAATTCACTTTTACCACGTCGAGACAACGCACTATCCTCTCGAGGATATTGCTGTTGCATTTTGTAACAAGGTGCTTGCGGGCAGTGATGCGGAGGCCATTGAAATAGCCGATGTGACGAGTGAGCAAGTGGAATCCTCGGTGTGAAGGAGATCTGATGCTTTGGATTGTGGAAAATCTCATACATCGGCTTTTCCTGCCTGGGTACTTTTTTTAATTGATGACTTCCACTATACGATGTTGATGCTACGATAATGCAATTGCCCTTTGGACTTGTTTGAACTATCAAAATTCATACCATGATGACAATTGATTGGTAAAAAGAGATGTGAGCATGTGCGTTGGGGAAAAAAATCCAGCGATGAAAAAGAAGAGGTCCTGCCCGGGATCGAACCGGGATTGCTGGTATCAGAAACCAGAGTGATGACCATTACACTACAGAACCGAAGTCGTTGGAGGACGAGCCTGTTTTAAGCAATATAAAGCTAGACATGAAAAAAGTCACTACATTGTCCAGTCTTTAGCAACAAGTTCGATAGAGAACCTATCACTCCGTATACAAATTTTTGTGAAGGAGATAACCACACCTTCCAGATAGAGCATATCTGCTCCTATCCATAAACATCTCTCACTTTACTCCCGGGATCTATTCCCAGCCTAAGCCCACCACTAGTGATCCAGAACCTTCTTATTTGGGGTACTCAAGTCCTCAGCTTTGTATGCTTTTTGAATTGGTTGGATTTATAGATTTCAACCCTCCAAGTAATAAAACAAATCAGGTTCTGTAGTGTAATGGTCATCACTCTGGTTTCTGATACCAGCAATCCCGGTTCGATCCCGGGCAGGACCTCTTCTTTTTCTTCGCTGGTTTTTTTTTTAGTCCTCACCTTTCTCTGCGCTTTCACATTTTAAATAGGCCAAGAATAATTCCACCACTATTGCAAGCACGGATTCGGATTTTTTTCATCCATGGCATCAACTTCCCTCTCATAGGGCCCTGTTAGAGGACAGGGGCCTACACGTTGGTTCTAGCATATAATAATTACATTGAGCCAAGTGACAAGATACAAATATATACCAAGGTAGATCGACACAACATTTGAGGTTACCTACAGCTCGATCGAGACCTCTACAATATCCCGGCGGCTGGGCTCTGTCTTTGGTGGCCTGAGACAAGTTCCAGGACTAGTTCAAGCGTCTCTTTGCTCCTTCCGCCAGGAGGGATTCGGTTTGCTCTGTAGCTGAGTCCTGGGTATCCCAAAACCGAGCTACCCGGTGCTCTTCTGTCCGCTATTCCCAAAGAGATAGGATAAAAAAAGAAGAAGAGTTCAACATGATAGAAAGCTGGCACCATTAGAGACCGACGATACATTATAATTTTTTTTCTTTCAGCGTCTTTTAAAATGAATTTCCTCGAGTGTACCTTAATATGACATACCGCAAACCACAGGACATTCGATTAAAAAACACTTAAACCCATATGTAAAGGAACGTAGCAAACCACTCGTGCATCCTTTCGTCTGGCTGGCTTAGGCAAAAATCACCATCAAAATATACACTGAACCGAGGAGACATCATCTGGCCATTCGCCCGGCAATAGGCACGGCTGGACGCCTGTGATTAGTCCGTGGAAGTTGGAAATGACATCTCGCTCGCAAAATCACCCTTCCTCCAGTCGGCGATAAGCAGTGCTTCCACGGGAAAAGGGTTCTCAGCCTATATACTCAAGGTTGCGTAAGAGCCAATCATGCCACCGAAAGAACCAGTAGAATCAAAAGATGAAGCTCGAGCCTGTTTACCAATTCCATCACACATGTTGCTCCACAAACAACCACCCTGAAAATAGGCGAGTACCTTCCCTCCCTGAAGATATCGAGGGAGGCAATAGAGATTAACTTTATATCCATGAATTCTCGAGCCGTGATCGTAGAAAGGACGCAGAAAAAGAGTAAAATGGATGACACGCGTGCAATTCAACACTAGCTATCTTGTTGGCGAGGCCGGATGTGTGCGAACCAAGTACATAAAAAGCGATCATGAAGAGGCCATTTAACCAAGAGAGTAAAAAGGGGGGGAGAGAGAGAGAGAGAGAGAGAGAGAGAGAGAGAGAGAAGAA